GATCCATTTGAGTAAAGCTTTGTTTAGGTGTTTTCTTTAGTCTTTGTTTGGGAACATATCCCTTCTACCTTCAAGTTTTGAGTATTCCTATTCGGTTGGTGATTCTTACGATAAACAAACATTTATTAAATCTTCTAATACAACAAACGAAAACAAAATTAATCTTTGTACACAGAAGAAATCCTTAGTGCAAGTCTAAAGAGTTGTGTTCAGTTGTTGATCTACTAGTAAAATACATAGCTTAAAAACTTCTAAGAAACGATCTCCGATAATCAACGGAAATGTTCTTAACTTGATCTAATCTATCCATTGAAAAAAATGCACAAAATAACCTTTGAATTATTTATCACTTTTGAAACTTTGAGAACTGTCTAGTTTGCTATTTGCATAATTTCTCTGCGAAACTTGACTTCCCTATGGCAATCTCTTCCATTTCCTTTATTGAAGTTAGGCTGAACAACAATCTCTATGTGTCACTCACGTCCCACATATTCTTTTAGTCTATACAAACGTTCCTCAACCTCTCCCATCAGCTTTGTACAATTCATCATAATAAATTTCATCTCTATATGTGACTAAACATCCTGATGGGTGGATGCTTGTGTGAACAAAGGGGGAGCATTTGCTCGATACATTTCATCTCTGAGATTGAGTATTATCATGTATATACATATCACATCACATCATGCATTGCTATCAGATCAAAGATCACAATACACAACCCGTCATATATCAATATAATCGTACCACAGTAATCTATTGTAATTTCAAAACATCCATCAATACACAGTGTTTACCACCAATTAACGGTCAATCCAAACATACCTTATGCTTCAAACAATCCAGGTTTTGCACTCACTACTCTCCATCATAACCTCATTCCTTAAACCTCAATTTCAAAATTTGAACGCTTTGTAGCTCTAAATTGAACATTCAAATAGAACAGAATAATTCTGTACTTGATAAGTCGTCAATTAGTACAATTGAATGTTCAATTTTATTCGCTAGAGCGAATTAATAAGCTTGTGCTAATTAACTACGAGGGGAAGAGTGGATTTCGCGAGGAAGTCAGTGTCAGTTTGTCGTCCGGACGTACGAGGGAACACGAAGAGACAAGAGAAGAGGAGAAATCTGGGTCACGAGGTGACGAGTAGAGGGAGAGAGAAGATTCAGGAGCTAAATTGATTTATTTTTGCACCAGATTGACGAAGATAGATTATTTGATTCCTAGATTCGTTTTTGGGGAGTATTTCAATCTAGTTCACATTTGTGAGTTATTGCATATGGCAGGGCGGGATCGTGTGGCCATGGTGGCCATCATGATGAAGTACTTATCCATTTTTCAAAACTATTGTAATATTTACGACAAATTTTTTCCACCTACATCAATTCTCTCAACTAGAAATTTTACTACTTCAACCTCTGCCAAGAGTACTCGCGCCCATATGCTTGAGCATAATAGCATACCATATTCCGATACTCTACTCCACGTTGCTGAAAAAAACAACAATAATTTAATGAGAGTCGCATGTTACTCCGTCCCAAATCGCTAGAACACTTCGAGAGATGCTCTTGGAATATGGCTCTTGGATTGCATTTATTATCCTTCACGTAGACGCCAACTCAGCGCCAATTGTTCGAGCATTTAAACAAGACTTCGTTCTAGTACTTGGTACTCCGGTGTTTAGTAAAGTGAGAGAGTAACAGTTCTGAACATCAAACGGTTCTACTTCCTGCAGACGCGCGATTTCAAGAACAATACTTGACCCCCGTTTTTGTAAAGATCCCTTACTCTTTTCTTAGCACCTTGTTATTAAGATGTCGCCATTTTGTCTCGAAAGTCAGCATTCTTTTTGGAGCTATTGTGCGCTCTAAGAATGTATCGGATTCAAGTTGCTCTCTCTAGCTCGTCATTACCGTTTTTTTAAAAAGCCTTATAGTAAGGGTTGTGATTTATTTAAGGATTTTCTAGCAAATGCAGAGTTCTCATAAAATAGTATTTTATGAAACTAGATATTATTAATCTTACACGTTACAATACAGTTCAAAGTTGGAAAGAAAGTTCTTATGTCAAACCTTAACCTATGAAATGTTATGCAGATTTTAGAGGTTAATGTTTAACACGAACTCTAAAATATGCATAATATTTTGTACACATCAAAATAAATTAGTTAAAATATTAAAAAATGAGTTTAATTTTGAAAAATACTTCATAAAATAAAATAAAAAATTTTGAGGAAAAAACAGAACTCTAATTTAAAATTACCATAAAAAATAACTCGGATATTTAACAATCTCAATATGAAAAAAATTTGAAATTTTATTTTGTGAACATGAAATCTTGAGGTACATAATATACATATAATGCAAAATATCAAGTATATTAGAACAAACATATAAATGAAACTTTATTTATCTGATGATATAAAAAATCAAAATATTATATGAACAAGTGAAATAAATCTAAAATAATAAACTAAAGTTCAGTTGCTAATGAAACTAACGTAAAGTTTCGATAACTCACTCAAACAATAAACTCAGTAATTCCACGATAAGACACAGATTCTCCGTGGGTCACCCAAGGGGCTACGTACACGGGAAGTCAAAGACACTTCGATATAATGTGCAACGTGAGATTACAAAAGATCTACTAGGAGTTTAACTACCCCCTGGCCAACCGACTAGAGAAGACTATGAATAGCAGGTTAACCCGATGAATGAGTTAACCCCAACAATAATTACAATCTCTCAAAATCAAAGATAATCTTTTGCTCAAAAGCTGGAATCTAGTCAGCATGATCGACCAGTTGAATAACCTCATAAATCAACGCTAATTGGTTGAGTTGTTTTGAGGTGTATAAAATGTGCGTCACAAAATGATACATTCACTTATGACAATGTGAAATAGAATAAAATCAAGATTTTTTGATCAAATACATGTTTCCTCGTTTTTGAATGTTCTTTTTCGGTTACATAATGGAATGTCAAAATATTGCTAGAAAGAGAAACAGTAATAGCAACAAAATGAAGTTTCTTTTAGTAATTCTTAAACCTAACATCGAGAAATATTTGTTACAAAATTGGTCTAATCAAACAGTAAGTTTACTCTTTAAATTATCTGTTAATCTCAAAAATTATCTTATTAACAATTTGAAAACTTTTTGAGCATTATATTTGTGAGTAAAAAACTCACAACGTTCATATACTTGACTTTTTGAATAATCAATTTCAAATCCCATAGCTTGCTTTTGCGTAATTTTATATCATACCAATAGAAACAGTTAGTAAGAATGAAAGAAACTAATTAGATTGCTAAAACGTCAGAATGTCCTAGATCATGGACTACAAGTTGAATAAGCTATAATGTTTTCAAAATCGTTTTGTAATACTACGTTGGTACCTTCAGCAGATTTACAATCTATCTTTTTTACACACCCGGGCACTCTCCCTATGATAAGCAAGCTTTACTTTCTGGTGTCATCACGTGATTCAAGAATCTTTAATGGCAGTACGAAGTATGTCAATGAGTTCACATTCTGACACTAGAATGGGTGAATCAGTCAGGTAGAATGGGACGATTGGATAACATACCAGACATCGTACTAGAAAACATACTGGCACGACTCACCCTCCTAGCAGTTATGCAACTCAGATTGGTATCCAAAAGATGGAAGAGGTTAATTGAAGCACGCATGCGTTAGTGTATACGTGTTCCATCTTCCGATCAGGTAAGCTCACGGCTCGGCTAGCGACTAGTCTTATAATTTTTTTTGTTACCCGGTTATGCAGTCGGCTAGCCGTCCGCTTACCGGCTCACAGTTTTCCGTTTTTGTTTTTACTCTTCCCGTTAACGGTTTAAGTTACTGGCATCATTCCATCGATTTGTCTCGTAGTACATTTTATATTCACAATGCATTTTCAATTTACATGAGAATTTGTGAAAACCTTGTATTTTATAGAATATTAAACTCTTTCCTTACAATGCATGTTTCAAATATTGCAACGAGATAAAGTGGCCATGCAACCGTGAAAAATGACACCAATTAGAATTCAAATAGCAATTAGACAGCTTGATGTCATATTTTATGAAAATTCTCCAATCGCGATGAAAACAATGCATTTTTAGTTCTTCCACACAACTATCTTTCTGGTCAACTATTCATATCAGCACACTCAGACACAACCTTCGTATATCCTCAAACGCCATCGTTGACTTGCCACGGTAACCGATTAGCCACCGGCTAGCCAAAAATTAGCCGGCTACGTGACCACCGCTGTCTACCCCGCTAACTGATTGATGCAAATGGTTGAACATGCAGGGTTAGTACATGTTGAATACGTGTAGATCGTGTAACGTTTTACCGTATATATATAAAACATGGCCCGAGGTTTTTTTTTTTAATAGTAACACATTTAACAGCCGTTTGAACATATTTAGCCATAGGAGGATTCTCATTCTGGAGTACTGATTAGATTAGAACTGTATTCCCTTCGAGAAGTTTGAAATTCACAACCTCAGAAAACAAAAGGTTTATATTACATCTGCTAGTATAAACTTACAAACATATAGATATAATTTGCTATGTTGGGGTTCATTCTATGATTAAAACTCATCGATAAAAATCTGGCTACTCATATTACTATCGTGACATAAGTACAACGTATACTTAAATCTGGAGCTGTATGAGATATGATAATCTGTGATGAGAACAGTGACTAAATTGCTTGCCGGTTGTAGTTAAGCATATTAACTGATCATTTTATCTCCAGCCCAAACTTTTATTTACCTACAAATTTAAAACTTTCTTGTCATCGTTTGAACTCTGTTTCTGCTAAAAAAAATGACACAAACAGCCTATAGAAAATTCCTTAGAGTAATAAAATTATCAATTCAATGCTTTATTATATCAACTCTAAAATTTATCCTTAAATCAATACGCTTATCAATCAAACGTCTTTGATGATACATCAAATCAACTCAATATTGATGTAAAAAATGGGTGAAATGTGTCTTCACTTATAATGTGAAGCTCGATAACAACTCAATCCATTTGAAAAAATACTCTATCATGATCAACACATATCAATGATGCTGTGCAGTCAATGATATTGGTTGTGCAAAGTCCTCACCAATAACCAAGTCTGATAAGTAATATAAAGATACGATTGTGATATGTGAGCCTTAAATACGAGATCACACAGGGAGGGTGAGTCAGGACATAACATCAGGCCGAAAGGCGTAGTCGATGGAAAACAGGCAAATATTCCTGTACTACCCCTTGTTGGTCACGAGGGACGGAGGAGACTGTAAAGCTTTTAGAATATTAGCCCCAGCGTACCTTCGCAAACCTCCCTTACTCTTTAGGAGGCTTCGCCCCAGAAAAACTACCCACCATGCTGTGTCCCGGCAGTTCGACATCCTTCTACGAAAGAGTGGTATTTCCAGACTGGTGACAACATTGTCGCACCTCCCATCTATCCTACACATTCAATCAAGGTTGTCACCGCAAACTTGTAGTAAAGGTGCACGGGTCTTACCGTCTAGCCGTTGGTACTCCGCGTCTTCTGGGAGAATTCAATTTCACTGAGTCCATGTTGGAGACCGTGTTGATCCGGCTCGTGGGCAGAAGATCTGCAATGATTCTTTCAAGCATCCCCAAAGCTCACATTAATCACTCCTCCTACTGAACGTGGAGAATTATCTCCCGACATCGGTTGCACAAGAATTAAGAAGAATATAAAAACCGATTGTATCTATATGTTTAGTATTACACCAATTGGATTTCGCGTCTACATTTGAACTGAGACGTAATTGCTTAACGATCCCAGCAAATTGAAACACAAACATATCGACTCAAAAGCTTGCAAGGACACTTCTCCCAGAACAAATTCACGAGCAGATAAGGTACCCGGGTTTCAGACAAGGTTTATCCATTTTTCTTTTACGGAATCTCCTCATGACCGCATGACGGATTCTTCATAGCTAAAGTACCCTTATAAGATTGGGCAATCTAAGTTTAAAACACACTAGTATGATTAGAATTTAGAAGCCGAAAGCCCTCTACAACACGCTAAGTAAACAGTGACTATACTACTCACATGCACGTTCGGGTATTAAGCCTGCAACCACATAACGCGAACTAAGGATGACCGTCGCTGAACAAACTACAGACAATCTCAACCGTGTCTAGCGGTTCCCTTCTCTTGACACCGGTACTCTCCACGAAGACAAATGACACCATGTAGCTCATTGTGACTTAAATTGACGATCAGATCTCTTATCCCTCGTTTTCTTAGTGGCATAAATATAAAATTCATAAGAAACGTCCAGGAGACAATGCGACAGTTAACCCCGCTCAACAAGCAAGCGACTGAATTTGCGGACCATCACCATACGGCATGACTCAGCACCTGGTGTGAAAATAATGATTCATAGATTTCACATGAACCAAAAAGAGGATAAGGGTGGCCAACTGTGTGGCATTGACAATTTACAAAATCCCACTGAGATTTTGATCTAATTCTATACAAAATGCAGGCCATGTCCAACTAATGCCTCAATGTTTTTCTACGTCGAAGACGATCCAAGACTGTTGGGCATATGTTTATCTTTTTTTAGGAGAAACTCAATATCTTTGCCCACTTCACATAATTTGGTCACCGATGATTGTACAGCAGCGACAGCTATATCCTTCATATCTAAATCTTGAACAACATTCTTCACCTGCCCTCCATGAATCTATGTCAAAGTTAAAGAAACCAGCAATGCTTTTGAATCACAGCCCAACAAGAAAACAGTACAACGTAGCTAATGCCTGCTATAAAACGCAAGTTGTCAACATCAGAAGTGCTTTAACTCTACCTACGGTTTCTCTATAAGATCCATGGGCAAACAGAACTTCAAATCAAGGGAGCAATTCTCTTTCTTTCATTCCAGGAGTCGTAATAAACATTAGGGCAGGAAATTGATTCTGCTAATAAAAACAAGGCAGACACACTTGAGGATACAATTGAACCAAGGGCCACAAGAGCCCGGAACCGCACCTCTGCCTCTAATTCAGTTGACGCAGCCATCTGCACCAGGTCAACAGTGAGTGATGACTAGATTGACATAATACATGCATAACTGATCAAATTAAGGTTTACTTTATCTACATTCTAGAAAGTATCGCACTGCTTAAACTCAACTTGCTGTGTAAAACAAACTGTATTACAATTTGCACTTTGGGCTAACCCTAAGCTAAGCGCGATGCATTGCTTCCGAAAGAACACTCCTGCAAACTTTTGGGGAAAAACACTACTCATCCACACTCACGTAAAGGGAAAAAAACTTAACTTCACGCAAAGTTCCGATATTTGATATATATTAACGACTAGATTGTCTTGGAGGTTTCAAGTTGGGAGTTTGAAATGTCCGCATCTCTTACATGAACCAATAATATATAATACCACATGTATTTAACAATTTCCTCTCAGATCTCGATCAAAGAGTAGAGTGCTCTCACCTCTAGGGCACCAGATATGGCTTGGGTTTGACCGTCTTCATCCTTCAGTTCAACTAGTAAAACAGAGTAGCTGATAAAAAGGGGAAACACAAGAATTTGTTAATACGCTGCAGCTTAAACAAAATATTAATATATAAAAGTCAAGCAGCAAGCGACTCAAACCAAACACCTATACGTAGCTCCTGTATACTTGAGGAGTCGATCCTCATTACCGTGAAACATATAGCATCACTTAGAACACACACTTATTCTTCTAACTTGGAACAAATTGACATACAAAACAGGAGAAACGACACTTTGATAGTACGTACTTCAAAATCAGAGTGGCCAACGCGAGGCGAACGTTTTTGTTAGAAGAGTGATAACACTCGGCGAACAAATCTAGGACCTGCAGAATATCCAACAAAAGATCGGTTAGAACAAACAACGAGAATCCAAAGTCCTTAACAAAAACTGCACACAAGAATTTACGTGCGGCGGCTTATGCAGACGCTGAGCCTGCTTATTTCAGAAAATTCCTCGATGGTTCTCCACATAATTTTCATAACATATTAGGAATGGTAAGCTTGGAACCTCTTCACGATGCTTCTTGGCCCATTCCCTTAAAACGGAGTGTCGGAAGGTGTTCACAGCCACCCGTGCACTAGTCAGCTGATTCGCTGCACTAACTGGAGCTGTATTAGCCCTTCGCAAAGCATCTATGACGACATCTGCACTCATGTTTGAAACGAAACGTTCTCTACACATTAGTTTGCAAACTATAATGATAGCCAGGCTACCATGCAACAAGAGTCCGCATCGACGACAGATTGGAAACTGAAACATCATTTGCGATGGAGCTTGATAATAAAGAAAGGATATCACTGGTTAGATAGTGGGTATATTAATTAGCAACTTCGAAAGGCCACACTAATTCCTATTCCTAGTTAACTCATAATTCACATAAATAAGTACGATCGGCAGACCAAACGATCGGCATACCTTCCCCCATATTGGAATCTTTGGCATAATGTTCTGCTGCGTGTGGATGAAGAAGAAGCATTCTCAAAATATCCAGACCTGCATATAGACATATTGATGTAATTGTGAAATCTCAGAGTCAGTTCCTCTCTTTATTTAAGAGTATAATATAAATCGTGAAGAGTAAAACTTACCATAGATATCTATTGATTTCCTTCAATGTAAAGGAGGGTTTGGCAGAAATTAGCACTCTTTATATTAGATTTGCGAGTGAGAACATGAGGTTCAAGTGTAAGCCATGACATCTTTATGTATTGCTAGAACACAAGTCAGAATATAACCTTGCCAAAAATAATTTTCTCAGGTACTGATAACACCTTTTAAGTGCAGGATTGTTGAGAGGAGCGGGTGAAGTTGACAGAATATATAGATTTTCGAGTTTGTCTCAATTCAATTCAGGAGCGGGGACTGCTATCTAGAGTCTGATCTTATTGCTAAGACTACAGGTTAAGGGTAGTGGTCGCAATCTATGGCTAACCACAGGAGCCAATAGAGAAGATATGCATTACAGGTAATGTATCTAGTCAACATCCTAGTCAATATCAAAACATAATAAGCTCCACTGATAGAAACATCAATTAAGACAACATAATGGTTCAAGGCTAGCAACGGAGCAAGTGGCAAACAAAAATATATACAAAAGCAGACCTGGAAATATATTCGAAACGGGCCACCGCAAGAGCACCTTCGAAAGTAATCCAAAGTCAGCTTCTGCGAAAGTGGTAACGTGATAATGGGACGTGTCTTTAAGTATTGAAAGAACTGCCTGTAGCCTCATCAGCTCGCCTTCAGAGAGCGCGGTTGCCTTGGTTGCCTGCAAAACCATCAACCTTCTCTTATTGATACTACTCAATTTATTCGACGCACAGTTCAAGAACCAAGTAATTGTGCGCCATGTCTTGCAAAAATACTCCATCGTTTCTCATGTAAGGGATCGTTTCGATCACTATTGCAGTCGCAAACAGGTAGTAGCTGCCGAGTCAGAAGTCGTACCTCATCGCCAGAAATTGCTGTATTGAACTCTGTAAGTTTCTTAAATATGCCTTCAAACTGTGCTGTATCAAAAAGCAGCATTCCTTTCTGCAAACAGGTAGTACATAACTAGTCAAACACTCAGCAGAGAAACTATATGACTGCTATGTCTACAAAGTGGGATCCTGCGTCAGGCTGCGGACTTTCATATTTAAAAACCTCATCAACGAATACAGAAGTGCAACGGGAAGAAGTAAAGAAAAACAAGTACCTTCGGAACATGTTTCAACGCGAATGAAGAGCTTTGAGGAGATCCATTTGTGCGTGGTGCTGCATTGTAATGGACAAACACCTTAGCTTCTACATCGAGCAACAGACTGCAGAGATTTTTTAAGCCGACAAGATAATCATCTCCGTATACTGGCTAACCTCTCAACCATCGAACCATGAAACTCGACACACCTAATGCACATGAAAATGTCCAAAGAGAACCAAAAATCAGTTTGTCTATCCTGAAGTAGTGAATCACAATTGAAAGCCTGGAGGACAATTTTCTCACAACATACCAGTCCAGCCGGGTTGCTGGGGTACATACGCACTTGCTGCAAAACAGAACACATTTGGCATAAGTATCTCAGATACAAGCCATGGACGTAAAGTCCACAAGGGCAACAAAGCATAAGAAAATTGAAACCGGTGTCGGAGACTATCTATTGTGTATAACATGAAATTATAAAATGGATCGCTTCCAAGTAAAATGGAGAAAATCCACAAGATCCGCAAGACCTAATTGCAGACCTACCTGCTGAGTCAACTAAGCTATAAAAAATGTAGACATCATTAAACATCTCAACATATCTAATACCAAAAGACATTCTAGTAACTGTAGGCTATACAGAAATTACTTACAAAGAAAACGTGAACTATTCACGTTTTCTTTGTCAGTAATTTCTGCAGTTTGTATACCTAATCGATGGTGTATAAACCTAAGTCGTCGTTTGGTCGGACTAGACTATACTTGTGTGTAAATGAACAGATGAAAATTTTTCGTATGACGGAGCACCTGATGCCGTTGCCAAGAATATGATACACACAGCGTAAAATATGCACTCACCGCCAGTGTAAGGATCAACATATGCTGAGTCAAATTGCTGCGGAGTTTGTTGGCCAGTATTTTGAAGAATAAACTCCACAACTTGCTGCCTGTAAGCTAAAGGCAAGTCTTCATTAAGAAGCCACTTATCCGCCACATCATACGGATTCTCTGCGGCCAAAAGAACAAAAACTCAAAACAAAGTGTTAAACATCATCCTTTGTGCGGCGAGATACTGATAATAAAAATCCTGACACCTTGTGCTCATTGCGCTACTATGGTGGTAAAAACTAAAGTCGACTCTCTCTGAATGCAATCTGTAAAAGAGCAATACGCCGTTTACTCTCGATAAGTGCAAGCCTGGTGTTACTTCGGGATTATATTACACGGCCTAAGTGCAAATTGCAGTTATTTCAGAACTCCAATTCACCCGTTACTCTCAAAATCACTAAAAACAACTTCCTAAAAGCACGTACACTTATGGGCACGTGTAAAATATGAATTACCAAGTAACCTGCAGACGTGGCTGACCCTGCTTAACTCTTGCTAACTGCAATTGTTATATCTCATTGCAATTAATCAGGTATAGCTGCATCATGATCCTAACCGTTCGTAAGTGCAATTCTAGGTCAATTGCACTCCTAGAGGTTGTAGATAAACGCAAAACCTTCATAAGTGCAATCAGCAAAGCTACAAAAGAACTTTTGCTCTTAAAGGGAGTCAACTGTACTTGGTTTCCTTTTCTAAGAAATATCGTAACATGTAAGAACAACAGATGCTTACGTCCTCTATTGTACGGCAGCTTTCTGGTAGGCTCTCCGTCACCAATATCAACATCGAAAACTGCGTGAACATGATCGAATCTGGATTAGTCCTGATCGCGCAAAAAATTTCAAACAACCGAACGGACAACCAAGAAAAGAATTCTGGTGAATAATTCATTCACTAGTTACTTCCTCCAGGTGGTAACAAATGAGCAGGAATAGTATCACATAGTAATAAGGCGATCAGCTCAAGATGGAAAACACAACCAGAAAGAGAGAAGGAAGCTGAAATCTAGGAGAGGCCATACAGTTACAAAACAAATCTTCAAAAGTAAGCAGCATATAAAAAGAGCTCGACCAATTCTTTACAAGTAACGGGCTCTTGCTGATGAACTCGGATTCGGAGACCGACCCTTCAGACATCCTGAACAAGCACAACCGTGGAAAACGCACAATGCAAAGTATAGAGTGCAAAGTTGCGTCTTGGAAACAGATAAGCATACCATAGTCGTAAGTTACGCCATGTAATGTCTTCTTCTCAAGGCTATCACCTGGCCCATCAACAACTTCTCCGATCTGCAGAGAAGATTTACAGTTAAATGCAAAGAAAAATGACTCTATGCTTGAAACTATGGATCAATATTATTATTCAATTAAGAATTTTCCCGAATTTACGATCAAGAGAAGTCACGGTACTTCTAATATGCATTGTATAATGCGCAAAGTGATATCAAGGCGATGCAGAGGTCTAGTCTAAAATAAACACACAACAAATAATGACTATCACGTCATGTTCCAGCCGTCCATATATTTCACAATGCATACGGGATGTAACCAACGTATAAATCTGAATATCTCAACCTATACAGAATAAATTTGTTACAGGCTCTACCATCTTAGAATCCTTCATGAACTGTTCATGTGAATTTCAAAACCTAACCCTAAACCCGCGACTAAAGTAAAATTGGCGGATATCTAACGCTGAACACTCATCTGGCTGAACACTCATCTGGATTGACCGAATAGTCTAACCAAGATTGCTCGTCAACTCATGTAAGAATGTATTTTGTAAGCATATTATTGGTGTCTTATATACTGAGATATATAAGATGATAATTACTTAGAGTTAAAAAGTGGTTACCTTATCCCACTTATACTCGTTCTTGTTCCATGAATAGGCCACTCCACTATCACCCTCCCTGATTATCTTGGTCTGTCCATCTTTCGTACCTGTCAAAACAATCCAGTAAGCACACAAATAAGATGAGTAAAACTGGCGACAGAGGTTACAATTCCAGAAAGAGTCGTGGGCCCTAGCTATAAAAGAACGAAGCATGAGGGCTTGCTGTTTGTGAAATATTTGTTGTAATACAATAATAAAACCACGGAAATAAAAACTGCTCTCGAACCCAAAAAAAAACAATCACATAAGATATGATCACTCAAAGCTAGAGATAGGGAAGCTTCCAAACTTTGAATCCAATCTTACAACACAAAACACATGTAGAACTTTCTACAAAAAAGTACACTTGCATCACGTCAGTATTTACAGCATTTCACACAGATGCCCACTCCAGTCATCAGATGTCATAAGTATTTGTCACCGAAGAGCCCGGTTGCCGAGGAAAAGAACATCATGTCTAGAAGGGTCCTCTTGTTTTGCCCTGACATGACTCGCGGGGCTTCTTCAGTATTCCTCGCGACGGGCAAATTAATGTCAAACGCTTTCCTGATGTGTGCGAAGTTTAGGCCGAAGCCCCATTGCAGTAGAACAAATGATTTTGTAAATTTATTTGAAACTCAAACCAATCACATATCATTTTATTAAAAAAAAGTGGACGTGTACCTGGCTGCTGTAATGCCTCCAAGCCAGGTAGATCCCCAACCTTCACACCCCCTACGGTCTTCCTAAGACATGAAGAATCATATAAGAAAGTTATCACCTCCAAATGTTCAAGCCTTCTCAAGAGTTACTGAAGCTATTGTACAACAAAAACTTGCAGAAAAGTGGTGGTGTATAAACCTTGAATATGCAAAGGCTTCAGCTAGTGCAAACAACATTAGCTTATGATGCGAGTTTAGCAATCCAGTGGAAAGCAAACCTGATCTTATTTTATTTTAAATCTAATTTACACAAGGTACAACTCACTTTTCAGACTCATGAGCAAGAAGCATAGCCTCATATGCTTCCAGCTCTTCCGACGCTGCTTGGCGAGAGGAATCAGTGGTCCATACACGCGCAACTCCATCTGAACATGCTGTAACAAGATCACCATTTGACAGGAATTTCACATCCCAGACACAACCTGGGTGTGGTATGCTCTGAACACATTCACCACCTGCAATTCAACGAGAAGAAACAATTAGTCACTTAGGCCTTGTCCCAAAGGTGTAAGCTCTTAGTCTGTCCATGTTTTCCACTTAGTACAGGCAATACTGTAGGATCCATAATTCCAAACACAAATGTACAGATAAAAGGTCTGGAAGAAGATGCAGGAAACGGATGCCACAACAGTTAACAGCTGAAATGAATACACCCTTTGGAGGAAAGACCCCCTATAAGCCTAAACTTCATGAATAATTCACTTAAGACAAACCTTCAATTTTCGCAGCTTAAAGATAAATAATCTTTTCTGTTGACTTATCTTTATGGAAACACAAAGCTCTGTCAAAAGAATGATACGAACCTTTCCAGACTTTGGCATAACGATCCTCACTTCCAGACGCTACAACTCCAGAGGAGTGGGCAGCCACAGAGTACACTATAGCGGTGTGGCCAACCATCTCCAATAGCTGTTCCCCAGTGTATGCCCACAGCCTCACAGTGCTGAAATAAGAGCGGAAGCATTTTGTTAGTCAAAAAAGTCTGCAACAACTTACCCGACATTGTAGATAAATTGTCTTCAGTCTCCAGGATTGGGACAATCCAATTCCAAACTTACAACAAGTATCATATAGCACAACCTTCTACAGAAGATAATGAGGCTTGAAAAACGGGTACTATTCTGAAATTTGAACTCTTTAAGGTTCAAGATAAGCCTAGCTGAGCATATGGGTTACTACATAATTGGCCAAACCCAGGAGTATATTCTGCTTCAAATATTAAAATATATAGATACTGATACTGATACTCCGGAAGTATGTGAAGCCTACTACGTTCATGAAGCCCTTTAGTGCTCGGACAACTTTCATACTTCATAACGGTAAGAAAATCCATAATTTCTGAGCGAAGAGAATCTTTCATACCCATCATGAGAAGCAGATAATATGCCGACACTTGGCATCAAAGAAAGCCCTCGAACAGTATCTGTTCAAATGAAACATAATTCAATCAGCAAGCATACAAAATCGGCGCACAATTTGGACTAAATTTTACCTACATTCAAAATCTCGACCTTATAAGATTTCAAAATGAGGACTTCTAATACACCGCCTATTAGTTATACAAGTTCTGGTTTTCGAAGGAGAGGAGAGAGGGGACACACCTGAATGGCCAGAAAATGTGCTCACACACTCCGCTCCTTTCCAAAGCTTTATCGTTGTGTCACTCGAACCTATCATTGCAGTAAGGAAATTAATGGGGTAGCCATAACATTGTCAAAGATGTAACTCAGGTCACAAACGACACATTGCCTGAAGGTCGCATCAAGAGTAACCACAATAATGGATATAAAATCCCCACTCCCCCTTCACGCCAACTAAATGCTTCGCCGCCTTAATTAAAAGTATAAGCAGGTTAGTTATACACTTTCCACAAGTTAAGTTAAGTTGAGTTAGGTTAAGCTAAAAATTACAGTTGGTCTTTGACTACAAGGTTTCTCTTCAAACCACCTCTCAAAACCTGCACCTGCATATGTGAGGTCTGTTTGAAGATTACATAGAAGGAAAAACCAAAGCCCAACAACGGCTCACCGTAGCGTAGACTCACCAGAGACAACTTCTCCCGTGGGCAGCGAAAGAATAGCCTGAACAGGTCCAGAGTGTCCCTTTAACACATCCAAAGTTTGACCCTTACGCCACCTTCTTATGGTACTGAGATCCAAGTTGATACACCATAATCAGGTACCAAAAAACGTAAATGAAAGGAAGCAGGTGAGACCAAAATAAGCAAAATGCATGCGTCTTATTATGACTATACATCATCTTCAAAGCACTTGATGTGTAGAGTGTACTTTACAAAGGCGACTAACTTTCTGAATCCCACCCACTTCTTCTCCCGAAAGTGCGAGAAGAAGCCTTCAATGTGCAAACGGTTTGAACGGCAATTCAGCTCGTTTCCTTGTTGTCAAAGTATGTATAGAATATACGGAAAAGTATACGTTTCAAGGCTTTTCCTAAATTTTAAAGTGTCATTTTGAGCTTCATACGTAGCTTACTTTAGAGTAAACCAGCATATATCGAACATATGAATAATTTATTAAGCAATATGAAGCTGATTAGAACAGCATGCTTTCATCCGGCATAATTTAAGGGAAACATAAGGCTATTACGCCTACTCCTTCATATGAAAACCAAGCTGGAAATATCTGAAAGTTATTACCTGTCGACTGAAGCAGAGAGGAAATCACCGTTGTTGGCGACAGAAACGCTCGTGACCTGGAGCTCATGCCCTCGCAAGTCCTGTACTGCGGATGAAGTTTCCAGATTCCAAACGACAACCCGAGTATCCATGCCCCCAGAAACCAAGCCTCCCGCAGGAAACTCCTCTGAAGGTGAAATCCATGCTACAGGACCGACGAAGCTAGTGTGACCAATCAAGGTCTTGTCTAAAGTGTAGGCTCCCTTCTCACCATCCTTGGCTACCCAAAAGCGCACTGACTTGTCTCTAGAGCCGGTGGCGATTGCATTGTCGCCACATATACACACACCTCGAACCTAAGACGAAAGCTAAATGAATCAGCATCGAATATAGAAAAACTCCAGATTAGCTATTAGTTTCAACAACTGGAGCAGACTTCACTACTCTTTGTCACTAGTAGTCTCATCCGCCCTCGTGTGTAGGCGAGGAACTTTTTATTATCATGGAAATGAACTTTGATAAAGTCCTCATGTCATTGATCATAACAAAATGTACATAAAGAATGTTATATTTGTTAAGGATGAGGTGTTAAAAAAGTTTGGTTTGTGTACATATCTAACTAATTACCTACGATTGTTATATATTGAGATTGATAAGAAGCTTTGAATCTTTTCAAATACTTCAGCTCGCCATAGTTGAACTTGAATACTGTGTCTGCATCTATTTGGAAAAACGGAGGCGGAAATGTTCGAATGAAATATCAGGTTTCTCTGCCATCTACTTGGTACATATTGCTAGGATGCTCGTCCACTTGGAAAAACTACGCTAAATCAAAAACTTCGATTTCGATTTTGTAAAATAAAGAGAAAGCTTATTATACATCTTAACTCCATTTCATAGGAGGGAGTTAAGAGGTAGGTTATGATGGTCTGCTACTTGAGAAAGCTTTATGTATCATAATCTCTTCACTTGATAAAAAACATATATATTTTGGAAGTAAAAAGATATTATCCTGTGCAATCATTAAAACTTCACCTTTATCTAGTCCAAAATTCAAGAAAACAAAAGAAAACCAAAAGAGAGCTCAAAGGTAACAATTAGGGCCAGTTCAAAAGTAAAGGAACACTATGAAGCCCCGCAAATTTTATTTTTATTTGTTATTTTACGGGAGACTGAGTGTTCCCTCAGTCTCCCGTAATAAAATTTCAAGCATTTCCAACATACAGCTGCAACAGGATGGAGAAACCCAAATGATGATGGCACAAGCACCCATCAGAAAACCAGAAGGTGCAGAGGCTCACGTCTTCTTCATGTCCCTGAAGCTGGCACCGAAGTTTGTATTGTGGACCGTCCTTCGTCATTGGCACCTTCCTGCCTCAATCTGAGAAATTCAATCGAAATATCCAATTACATTGAACTGTTGTGAAGCATGTGAAGCAATCAGCACCAGAATTCATTGAGATTTACATCTACGGATTTTCACAATCGCGAATGTGATCCAAACATAGAAGCGACATTTTAACTCCACAATTGAGATGCAATTCAGGTTGTCTGGGCATCGGATCGATCCAGAAACCCTAAACCCCGGACAATTTGATCAGAACATACGATCTTCTCCCATAATTCGTGTATGCGCGAAACAGAAGAATGAAACGATTGAGGCACTGAGAAAACGTGTACCTTGCGTATCAGAATCAAAACAGTCAATGCAGGAAGATGGACAGGAAGAAGACGATCCTCGAGCGGAAGTGTGATTATTTCTCCCGACGTCTCCACAATGTCACTGCTGAAAGGCGACGATGCCGTCGACTAGGTGACGACGACGAAACCAGCCGAAGCAGTAGTGTACGGGCAAAGGATCGAATGCATGCAATCAAGCATACGACTCACAAGCGCAGGTACCCCGTTACACTGCTTTACATGGTACAGTGCAACAACTCGTATCACCGTAGATTGCTACCACTTGAAACCATGGTCCTTCACTGACAGGCTACGCTTTCAATTTTCCGTCCTGTTGCCCTTTGAAAAGATAATTCAGCAGGGCGTTGTTCTAATTTTCTGTGATGAAGATCGTGGTATTGCCTATATGACTTGTTCTCCAGCTCGTCTACGAACTTGACTCTGATCGCTGAATATTCTGAAAATAACAAAATGATAAAAAAACTATTGAAGATTGACTATATTTACAGCTAGTTTTATCGTCATGAAACCATGTAGACGAAAAACTTCATAAAAACACTTATATGTGTATATTTTTTTTAATTGTATGTGTAGTCATGTCATCGTCTTTATTTTTAAGTGTTTAAGTTTGCTCAATATCTTTTATAGAGGTAGGAATTAAGGCGTGAGAAGTTTGAAACAATTGCAAGTATGGGGTGGGGTTCATAGCTTGTCTTGAAGAAAATGCACGTGAACAGCAGGACAAGTACAAGTTGGTCTCAACATATCAAACAGAAAGGAAGGGCTAAAATATGCCAAAACTGTTTGGAGCATGAATAGATTTCCTTGATATATTATTGCGATAATGCGTACTAGTTTGTAAATATCTAAATTCGTTGGAAGTCAATCATCACACAAGGTATATTATAGTCTTTATTTAGAATTCTATATCTGCTGTTCATTTTCAAAAAATTTCTTCGGAAGATTGTTACTTCCCATTCATTCCTATCACTCCCAACCACAATTTGTTTTGGTACAAGGGACAACTTCAATCTCATGGGCAAATATTTCAATTCTTTGCTCGGCGATTGTTCAAAAGATTCGAATACGAGCAGAAGCACTAACAAACGAGATCGCAAAACCAGTCTCTCGCAATTCTGCAAACTCCACACGGTACTCTGAAGACTCCAACATGGCTTTCACATTCGAGGTCTATTTCAGTGTCGGCTGTGTATTGCAGCATGGCTAACTCGACTATAGTTCTCTCTTGCAGCGCATTGAAAAAATTCAGATATTTTAAAAGAAATCCCTCCTACTAGTGTGTCCACAAACAATTCGTTCTTCCTCGTGGTTCATCTAACACCTAACAGGTTCCTTTTACTGACAATATAAATACTCCAAATACTGAGTCGGAGTATTTGCATAAGAAACTAAGGGTCGGAAATCTCCAGGTATGTTCCAGCGTCAGCGTTTGCCGCAAATGCTGCATGGGCCCTGCGCAGTCGCTGCATTCGTTACCATGTTCTGCAGGGTGATTTAAGGTACCGTATTTGCCACGATAAATTTTAAGATCAAAATAAACCTGACATCGTCACAAGCGGTCTCATTGCACAAAGGACATATACGCAAGTAACAGGATCACTTCCATGGGACCCAAGAATTAGATACAACCATGGCAATAGCCACACTAAGGACCAGGAGTTTGACACCGCAGATGCAGTAACAGTACTTTCCATGCTAAAGTTTTACCGATACAAGGAATAATCCAAAGCACAAGAATACGACCATAAGAAGCTTAGGAGATAGTGTATCTGACCGAGGCATGGCTTTTACTAGGTTTGATGGATTATCAGCACCAATCAGATACATTTCAGCAGCTCAGATACGGCACATCCTAAAGTTTCAGGTCATTGATAATGGTTGACTAATTTGCAACTGTCCCACATATGAGGGGTAATCACAACTCATCATTGATAAAGCCTCAAAAGTCAATTGACTGAAGTGAGGGCAAACCCTACAAAGCTTCTTTAAGCTGGAAGTGCTTGGCTAAATGACGAGCTCTATCATACTCGTTCAGCTCAACCAGCATTTTTTTAACACGTCTGGCTAATCCTATTGTATCTTCAGGGCTTGCACCTCCATCCTTCTTCTTTTCTACTGCTCGAGAGAGTAAGATTACATATTCCACAAACGATGCAAGCTTTGGGCTGCAAAACAGAAGAAAGTTAGTCTATCACGAGTAACGATTCAACTTCCCTTTCTTAAAGGGACACATCAGTAGATTAACTGGGACCCGAGCTGGACAGGATCATATAGTGAAAATCAACGAAATAGATACTTCGCCTCTCAAACAATTCACAATTTTACTAGAAATAAAACCTGCAATGTGATGCAAAGAAAAGGAAGTACCTCAGTTCCCGATTAGGGCCAACCCAAACACCAGACAAGGCACTACAGACTCGTTCCGTCCTTGTCACTGCATCGTGTAATGTTGTTAATAGCGTCCGCAAGTGCGGCAAAATTTTACTGGACAAAAGTTCATCTAGCGCAAGTTGTTCTAGGACAGGCAGGGCAAGCACGTCCTTCCACATTGCTATATTGCGAAGAAGGCGTATGGCAGTGCCAAACTTCTGAGCAGCAATGGGCGCAGCTTTAGGTACTGCAGTCATTACATGCAGCGACCATGCAGGGACCTGCAAAGAATGACCAACAGAAAGGAGTGAGAACGCAGCCATCAAATTCCAGATGCACCGATAGTACTGAAACTGGACATCATACTCTATCTCGCTCAGGGTCCTCAAACCCTTTCTATACATGTGCCCATGGTTTCAGGATGAACATTTTTTATATTGAAATCTACGAACTGACCTCCATAGCTGTGACCGCTTCAGCCATACGAGAGCGGACAGCTCCCAGAAGTTCTTGCAAAGAGTCACTAGTAGCTGGAACATAGATAAGAATATCCATGACAGCTGCAACTGCATGCCGGGTGCCTTCGGTGCTCAATCTGTCCCAGCAATGAGCAATTTCATGATGAAGTACCGGCAAGGCAACCTTCTCCACTAATTTCGGAACAAGATCTCCGTCTGTATCATTCGGTTCCAGCTCCTTTCCATTGGGTGGCATACCATACTCGTACAACTGGCGATACCTGCCATTTCGCATCAACGGGTAAGGAGTTTTCAATACAGAAGGGATTCAGAGGTACACTAGTAGAATACCAGCATTGTGGAATGCCAGCTAGCATTAGGTGACTGACCCAAGAAATTGATGACAAATCTGAATATAACTCGTTTGACACGGATAGTCCAAGCGTATTAGACAAGGACTTTTTAGACCAGGTTCAAAGAGTTCCGTAAAATATTTGCTTTGCTTTTCCAACAGAAGATGGTAACTCACAACAATACCGAAGCCAAGAATTAAAAAACACGTAAAGGCTAAGCTTTACGACTAGCAAGCTCTTGCAAAATCTTCGAGTAACTGCCCTTACCCCAGAATCTAACGTATCACTTACCAGTGCATGTTGCTGAAACCGGCATCACCATACAGGGGATCCCATTGCAGAAGTTCAAGTCTTACATAGGGAGCGAAAATAGCTGGTGCACTTAGTGACACGTAAGCATCACGATAAGCTGAAGAAAATTGAGCCTTCCAGCCTTCCAGCTTTTCTTTCACTTTAGTAAGTTGTGCAAACTCTTCTGCTGCATCTCTGAAAACGCTTTTTGCCGTCTCTAAAACTTCTTCGCGGCGAGACTGATACGCACTCATTTCACTTTCACTTTCATCACTGCTAGACTCCCCTTCCACAGGTTGACCGGTACCATCGCCGTTGTTGGAAGACATAGAATTAGCTCGCTTTTTGGAAGCTCGAGCTTGTCTCCGCTGTGCCCGTAGCCGACTCTCCATTCGCTTTTGAAGATTTACATCTCTGCCGAACTCGTCCAATTGAGGGGCCATATTGGAGACCTCTCTAGCAGAAAGTGCGGCTGCTGCGGCCACTGCTGCCGCTGTTGCACTAGCAGTGCCTCCCCCTTTACTCAGAACTGCCTTTGCAGCCCCAACAGCAACTTCTACTTCTGCCAATTCATCTGCATTGTCGCCAACCCTTCTCTCGGTGATGGCATTTGCTCGTTCTTCATGAAGCCTTTGCATGTGCTCTTCAAGCTCCTCTATTACAGGGGCTTTGTGCTGTATAAACGTCGACAAGGCTCAGTCTTCCAACTGAAACATATACGTATAGACGACAGAGGTGGTAGCACAACCCTGGGAACGAAACAGCTTCTATGAACAAGTGCACTCAATAGTGACATTATGGCTAGGGACATTTTGTTGGCTAAACAAGACTCGGCTGTACGTGTACCGAGAGGAAACGATGGAGCGCATACCTGCAGAAAATCACATAGGACAGATATGTAGTCTCGAAGTTCTTGCATGTATATATATTTCTCACCAGCGGCTGCCAAAGTTTTCTCAAGTGCACTGACAGTCTGAACAGATGATGTGAGATTCTCCTGCGTTCTGTACAGCTCTGATTGAGTTCTCGTGTGCGTTTCCTGCAAATCCCGACCAAGCCATCGCAAGATATTGCGAAGTCAGTAGCTCATAACAAACCGGAAGGCTAATTGCATACCACAAAATTTAAAAAGAGGTCAGACTTCTAACTTAATGATGCTCGTCCAATATGCAGCAAAATATCTTGAAACTAACTTTCGTATTCCAGAAACGAAGTAAGAGTTAACAATGAGCTAACTACAAGCTTAGTAATCAATGTTCTCAATATGAAACAATCGGATCTCAATTCGACACCACTCAGCAGATACATATGCATACATGGCACTCATCAAAGTATGCATGCAAGTGTGATAATGTGCATGTGTAGCAATATCGAGTACAATCCATGCGGCGGGGCTATGTTACTAATCTGTAGGTTCCAGCTGTACCTAAAGATTAGTAACCACATATTGCTTCGACAGAAAGTGGACACACAACCTACAAGCACGCAGTTCGGGCCTTTCGGGGCTGTGACTAGTTGTGACAAATATACACAAGCCCATTGATGAAATTAAAGCAGAGCCCCAATTCTGTGAAACTGAAAAGAACATACCCGCAATCTTTGGGCACTTTCTTGGAGGCTTCGCATCGCAGCTTCAGCCTGCTGAGTAACTGAAAGTCCCTCCAAGGCTCTTCCGAATCCCCACCCTGCACCACCACCACTTGTGACTGGTTCAACAACAGTCGTGCTCCCTGGACCCTGTACTTGAGAAGTTCCGACTGGAGCGGCAGCACTGCGAGCGGGAGTCTCCTCGACTCGTTTACCAAAACCTTTACGAAGCTGCTCCTCTTCCCATCTACGTTCCTCATCTTCTTCATCCTCATCCCTTGGTTCTAGAGTAGGTCTCCCTTCGGCCACTCTTTCTTCCGCCGATTCGAACACTCCAGTTCTTTTCTTGGGAGCCGTAATTTTCTCGCCCATGAAGGCAAGTCTTCCCTGGATTTCTCCTTCGTCTGCACTTGAATCATCTTCTTGTCTTTCGACATCGTCCTCCTGATCCCGACTGAGACCAGAATCACGAAGTTTGCTTCTCATATCAGCTCCATCACCAGGCGCCAGGGCAATGTAGTCAGGTGCAGACTGAGCTTGTCGAGCTCTTTCTCTCATAGCTTTCGCGGCGGCAATGGCTGCTGCATCAGGTATGTGGGTGACTCCGCCACTTTCTGCTCCAGCTCCAATGCCCATCAACCCAAGCCGACTCTCGGCATCATCTTTGTCTCTTCTTAATCGATCCCTATCGTCTCTATCCCGTGCCCTATCGATCCTGTCCTTGGCATCCTGAATGCTGGCATCTCCCAACAAATCTCTATCAATTCCATCTGTGAGGTTCGCGTTGAGTACCCCAACGGGCTTTACAAGACCCTTCAATACAACCACTGGTTCAGTGGGCTTGTTATCTACTGGTGGTATAGGGCCCCCCAAACGAACAGTATTTCGTTGCAGTTCGGCAAGCTTTTCTTTCGTATACTCGCCAGCTTGAGGTTGCACATTCGATTGAAGTGACAAATTCGCTGCAGATTTCTCCCTGCCAAAGCCCAATCTTTGACTACTTCCATGCCCTAAACCCAGACCCGAAGACTTCTTCTTAACCTTCTGTGTGCTAAAACCATTCCCGAATTTCTCATCATCATCGAAGCTCAACAAAGTACCTCCACTAGATTTTCCTCCTGGTTTAGACTTCGACTTTTCTCTCCTAGAGGAGGACTTGCCCGAGAACGAAGTGCTTTTTGTTTCTCGGGTTGCAGCATACTCTTCATCTTCGGCAAAGCTTAACAATTGCGGACCAACACTTTTTGGAGCTGATTTTACTTTTGCTTTCTCTTTCTCCTTCTCTTTAGACGGCTTATCTAAGGCTGGTTTAATCAAAACTTTCTCATTTTCTTCTGTATCAGCATCATCATCATCAGCTCTCCGGCGAAACTTCTTTGCCTTAATCATTTTGATCAGAATTTGTACCGAAGCTCATGCCCCGGTGATCGCAATTCTGAAGCTCGGCGTCATTTATTTACCAACCTGAACGCATACATAGAGCAAAAAAGGTGGTGGAGATCAGTAATGATGTTTAAAAGGGAATTAAACGCTTCAGATCCAACCATTTCAATTTAAGAATACCAGATAGTTCTCCGTCCGATAATTCCTAAGACATCATGGTGTCAGGCATTTTGAAACAAAAGGACAAAAAAGAGGAAAACAACTTGAGCACAAGAGTCAAGGAGTCAGTCAATCTCCGCTTAAAATGGTTCCGATGTCGTATTTAGTCGTTTCCAGACTTGTGAAATTGAATGTCTTTCCTCTTTGAAAAGAAGAATAATCTTGATAACATTCAACACACTTTTAGTTCGAATGAGCTGTCGGCACCACTCTAAACACAAACTCAACAATGCAACCTCTCCTGGAACAAATCGAGTACCTAGGCCAATCAGACAGCTGTGATTCCAATATTGTATAGCTGCGTTACTTCGAGATTACCCTTCCCCAGTTCGCAAACTCTAAGACGAACATTTAAAAAGACTCGTACAAAAGCGTTAGAAATTGTATTGCTAGTAAAAAGTCAATACTGCGACTCTAAATGACCCTTAATAAATAAGAGGAAAGTTACAACATCCAGTTGCGATCAGAGGTGACAGAATGTGGTAACTAAAGCCTTCCTTTTGCCACCGAAGCTGGCACCGACGATCTTCAGAGGAATTAAGGGTGAGTAGTCGGAAACTCCTGAACTAAATCTGACTAAATCGATCGTCTTAGTTTGTTGAAGTATGGCTAGAAGAATTCACCCAAAAAACGTGATGAGAATCTTTCAATTTAGCATTCACATACGTGAAACAGAATGCGCAACACTTTCGCCGCGCAAACAAAAACTACCTTCAGGCTCTCCGATGCATCAAATCCATTGAACGATCCCTAAAACCCCAGAACTCGACTGACGTGAACACACAAGCTTTTGTCATGAAAACGCCGCGCATGAGACAGAGACAGAGTACTGGAATGAGAAGCTGAGAGAGAAAACGAAGAAAACAAAGCAGTCAAATAGTTCGAAATGGGAAACACCTGCAGGTCTAGAATCGCTCCGGCGAAGAGAAAGGTTGCCAAAGAGCTCTGAATCCCGCGCTCGCCCGCTCGGTAGCAGTTGGAACGTGGAATCGCTGTCTTGTTCGATCCCAAAACCCTCAATGCAGCGCCTTGTTTCGGCCCCAAAACCCGTGGAGGTATCAAGTTGCATGTCTTGCTTGATAGATTTGAATGTGAATCACTTCGCATCGCTGCGAATAGTCAGTTCAAATTACTCGCGTCCGCATTTTCAGTAATCATCACCCAACCCTCACCAAATTGTCAAGTGCAGTACAATCGGAAGACGGCCCTGTAAGTTCCCTGTATCTTTAGACAAGTCGCTCCTGTCATGGGACGCAAATCCGGAACGGTATTACTGTACTACCTCACCTGAGTTGATGCGATACCTGCGACTGTCCTGTTTCGTAGGTACTGTAGTAGTAGATTTAAGTCACAGATCTGTTGAGTCCTGGGCCGTTTCACAATGGAAAGGGACATGGGCACCAGGTAATCAAGCCAAAATTGTATGAAAAACAATCAAAAAATTAAAAGTGGTAAAAGTGGCTAGGTTCCAACACCATAATAGACAAATTTGTCTATATGAATCAAAATAATAAAACTTTAAAGTGAAAGCATTCATTGATCGTACAATAAGATCATTATATTGAAAATCATTAGCTAAAGCTTTATTGTATTTCATAAGCTCTAAATAGAGCAATGAAAAAATGTGAGTAAAATGAATAATACAATAAATTAAAAATTACATGTTTATTGTTAAGTATCTTTTTGTACATTCTCACAACATCGGAAAAAAAATCTGATCACATCAATTCAAAATAAAGATAGATGATAAATAAAGAAATAAACCCCCAATAGTCCATTACTTAAACCCAACAATACAATCTGCGTCTATACATACGAAGTCTTACACAAGGAAACTGATGTATATAGGATAAAAAAGTCAAACAAATATACATCTAGTAATAAAACAAAAGACATCATATAGTCATTATTAAATGAATCCAACAACTTTTAGATCTCACAACATCAAAAACATATGCTTGATATTAATTCTAATTACTTGATAGAACCTCATTGTAACATAGATAGCTTATTAACATCCAAGATCTAAAAAATGTTCCTGTAAATATATGCTGCGGCTAGAGTGTGAGGAAATGAACGCATGGATATGGACATATTTGCTGAACGAATACAAATGGCTCTCATCTGATATCCATGAAACGTCACTTAGTGTTGCACTCTCCTTGCTCCTGTCTTCTTGTTGCTAAATGCTTAAGGAATATATCACATCATACAATCTTTTTTCTCGCTGGAAAAAAGTTTCTTAGATCCGCAGCTTCCTCTTATTCTCTGCCCCTGCACATTCCTGCTAGTTCATCTTCCTGCACCGAACGTCGATTAGTATAACTTTGACGACATGTGTGGGTGAAACGATACTTCATGGAACCTCTAACCTGTTTGTGTTACGATGGGAATCATCAAGTAATTTACACCATAAAATAAGTGATACTCCATATTCACCATTGTATAATTATTTTTGAAAAAAAATTCTGCTTAATTCTTGGTTGGATTTTGGTAAGATATGAATTTCAAGTAAAAAAATTTTAAAATTGCATTAGATTTTCCATCTCTTCTTCCAACTTCAATTAAAGGATAAAATAGTAATACATCCGATAACAATCAACATTCAAAAAACTGCTAGATAACATTTTTTCCTAGTGGAATTATTATATGATTATTTAAAAAAATATTTACTAATTTTTGTACTTGCTTGTCATTTGCATCATTAAGAATTTCATCTACATATTGTATAATGTCACATAGTATATAATAATGTATTGTGCTTACACCAAAATCTCAAATTCCAATCTATAATTTCAAAGCGAGAAAATAGAAAATTTAATCTTTATCATTAATGCTACACTTGCATTTATCTGGTAGTATGTGATAAGCTTGATCATTTATGTTTCTTTTGTTTTTATTTAGTATGCAATCAACTTCACTACCATCCCATGTAAAAAGATACATGTTATAAAAATAATAATTTCATTTGCAATATTATATTGAATCAAATATGTCTATGCACTTATATGATATATGTCAATTGCAAGCATAGCATTCATTCATACATCTTATCAAATATAAATTATTTTTTTGTCACAAATCAAAATCAAAATCCATTTCACTATGTGTCCATGTTTGATTGAGCATGAAAGTAAATATTATTGTGTATATTATGAAATATAAGTCATGAAAAATTGTATAATTTAAAATTTGAAAACATTGAAATTTTAAGCATATCAAATCACATTCAGATGAATAATGAAGTAGCAATTGAGTGTTGTAAATTTGAAAATTATTTGTGAAAATTGATAAGCATATGATGTTTAATTAAATTCAATTAACAAGCTTGTATACTTGACACAACAAGCAAAAATGTAGACATGTTATAGTTTTGACGATCATCTCCATTTGATAGATCCAACTAATAAAGTTGAAGTAGATGACGGAATGTATCAACAATCTTATTGGCATTTCTTTGTTAATACATGATATTTAATTATAATTTTTTTGGAAATTGTTAAATTGTTACTCCCTCAATCTAATACGCTATTAATTCCTAGTGTGAGGGAAAAAGTACTCACTCTTTGCTGTCAAATGGAATGTAAATCTAGATGAAATGTCAATTGCATCTCATACCCAAAATGATAAATAGTCGACAGATGAAGGTACAATCAAAGCTCTACAGAATTTGTTCATTTATTGCTAGCTCACTCACGAGGGTACAGGAAAAATTTTGCGTTTGGTTGTAGAAAAAACGGCCATTAAACTAGTGCATGAATGATGAGTAGGAATGAGGAGAGTACTACAAAATTTGATTTAGAAACTTGCTTAGAAGTATTCTTTGATACAAAAAACAGCCAGCGAGTAGTATGATTTAAACATTTTCTTGGTGAATTTAACAATCTCAAAATGTGTATATAAAGTTATGGTTATTCACAAACTTCCCCATACTAGTTTTACATGATAAATGTCTTTACATAGAATAATTAAAAAAATTGACGTATTTGTTCTAGCTAAAATAGTGTATAAAAATTTCAAATTATTGTATTTTGTTAGTTGATTTATATCTTACAAGTTGATTCTACATGATGTAATTAGATTTTGAAAACTTAGTAAACTGCAAGCATCAAGATTTATTAATTAAGGTGATATATATATATATATATATCACAAATGAAAATGATAATCATGTATTTTCAAAACCCTAAAGTTAAGTGTCATCACCATTTTAATATTTTTTAGCTTGAAATTACATGCAGATTTGGATATGATTTTTGACATACTTATGAGGAAGTTGGTGAAATCACATAATACTAAAGCAAAAACCGCATTGCTTAAGTTAGCATATTAATTGAAATATTTTAGAGATCATGAATTTATTTCTTAATAAAAAAATTCAACAATAAAATAAGTAAGAGAGAAATTAAATTATATGATGAAGATTTCAAGTTTTAGATTTCAAAACTACATCACAATATTTTTTGAAAATATTTTATCTTCATAAATTCAATGCAATGGATACATAAATATCATCACGTTATTTATAAACACTGGAATTGTTTCTTGATTTTGTAGATTTTTTTATCAATATTTTTCATGAAAAAAATTGATTTCTACAATTTCTTACAATAAAGCAATGAACAGTCTAATTATTTCAGATGATTTGCATTGGATTTGACAATGCTCTTGCTATGAGCAAGGCTATGAGATATGTTCAATTGATGAAAAATATATTGGAAAGTTGTCAAATGTATTTTCATAGATTTGAAGTTATGTGTGGATTTGATTTTTTGTTTAATGCACATTTTACAATTATTGATTAATTATGTAAATGTTAAATATAAACAATATCTAGATGAAAAATACTTTTTGATTGGATGTAAAGTTAAACTTGACGCTAAATGCATAAGTTGGAGAACTATATTGCAATGTTTGTAACTAAATTCACTCCAAACGTCAGATACATATGGACAATAACAGTTTTGAATGCAATTTTATTCAATAGAATATGGCTATATATTCACTATGATCTACAACTCGTTATGAGATAGATTAAGGACGGAAATATAGCTCATACCATTTTTTCAAGCAAAATATGTTGAAACGTTCTCCTTGTGTAAACTCCTTTGGATCCATGTCGATATTGATCAACAGTTCTTAGTCAAACTTGTAGTTTATCATTAATCATTTGTTATTCATGATTAAACTTCTCTCTTGTTCTTTATATGTGTTGTTTCCCTAGAGTACTCGTTTGTATTTCTTGTTTCTCTACAATTCTTTGATCAAAATTCTATTCTTGTTTGCAAAACAAAATACATTGGTGAAGATTTTGCACACAAGCTTAATCTGGTCGCTTTCAAAGAGGCTATATCCATGAATCAAAACTTGTTTACTCAAAAAAATTAATTTTATTTCAAAACAGCTTTTACCATTTCAAATCAAAACCCTAGCGCATTGCCTCGCGAGTCTTTCAAAATGTGCATCCATACTTTTGCATGATTTTAATGTCAGGGGATCTCTTTGCAACCCTTTGACATTATACATTTGCTGTCGTTAACACACTCCCATACATATTAGAGATATGTGAAATCATCCCCTGCAAAACTCTATCAGGTGTAAGATTGATAATCACAAGTCTCTAAGTGTAACTTGATATTCTCAAACCAAGTAGAGGTGAACGTTAACCCTTGTCATAGCAAATGTGCCATCTCATATTACATCGTGGGTAGCTAACTATGCATTCCAAATGAACATAGAGTGACGTAAATCTTTCACGCATCTAAAGTATTAACTCACTCACATCTATATTTGCTGTTTATGGATTACTATTACAAGGCATATAACTCCCATTACAAAACGACGACACTGTGGTTTGGTTGTATGGTCTGTCACACAGTCCCATCAACTTGTGAAGGGGCTACAGTATATCCAAAGTTGACCCGGAAATGAGCATTCCGGGTTTAGGTGAATTTCTTTTTCTCCACAGACTCAAAAGGAAAGGAAGAATGAGAGACCTTAGATCACTTAAAGCGGGAGGTCCCACTGAACTGGACAATCTGAATCACCAGAATGAAACCACGTCAGTGAGCCAATGTGGATCCGCCAAGTCAGCTGTAAACTGAATGATATCCCCGTTCTTGTGATCTTATTTAGCAAGTAAGCAGAGTAAAGGTATTTTGACTTCTTCCACGTTATGAAGTCGATTAGAAAAAACTAGGAATCACTCCGCATCGTCTTTTTTATGAAGCAATTTTACTCTCACATACTTCACTCTGTTATCTTCAGTTTTTTAGAACATTCCTCACAAACTTCAGCGAAGCCCAGCAGGAGTCTCTCAACATGCAAGCCTAAATTTAGACATTTATTCTTCATGCAGTTTCGTTCTGACATGGAAGTTGGCCTTTCTGGGTTATTGCCCAGAAAACCTCTCAAGATCTCCTTTATATGAAACATCTGTGCGGACGATGTGTGGTACTTGTAAGTGGATCGCAGTTTCTGCAACTCACAATAAAGTCATAACAAATTCGAGAACCTGGCTTTTGGGATCATAATAAACTCAAGGTTTTTAAGGAGGAGTATTGATATGCTTTTCTTATTAAAGGAATTACGCTAGGCATTACCCATACAAGTCCAACCCTTTACCGGCAGGTGGCACAACTGCCCCCGAACAGCCATAGACCGCCCTTATTCACATCTTACCCAGTAGCGGCAATACTACATGAACTTTAAGTTGTGATCGAGAGGTAGCGCCGTGGTCAACAGCGAAACAGGCAGGGCCGGTGTTGACCACGGCGGCCCTGCCTGTTTCGGCAGTCATTGATTCAACATGTTCTTCATAGGACACTGCACTGGCACGTTTCAAAAGTTACCGATAACAGAACGGGTAATGTTCTTTCCATCTGTCCAGTCTCAAACCGTCGGATGCCCATCGTATGAAGCACGTGCACCCGGAAGTCACCGGTAAAGTGGAGGTGACGCTGATCGGAAGGTCGGTACATATAAGTCAGGGGAGAATATTGCTCCCTGTACGACCTCTCATGTCTGTGTTTGACAGGCTGCTTTAAGCTGATTTTGCTTCTCGTCTTCTCCTCTTGGGGGAGGAAGAAGCAGAGCCGGGGAAGAAAGGACCCGCAAAATGCACAGAGCAGAGGCAAAACGAACGACAGGACTGTCAATTTAAAGCGGTGGAAGCTCTGGGATCCGTGGCAAGAATTTGAATATTGAGGAGTCGGGGAGGTTGGAGATTTGGAGAAACTCTGATCGTGAAAATCCAGGGAGCGTGCATTTGATAGTTTGGAAATAATTCTTCGCATTGATTAGTTTACTGCAAGATGTGTGGGATCTTTGCTTACGTTGTGTTCAATGCTCCCAAAGAGAGGAAGCACATATTAGAAGTTTTGTTCAATGGATTGCGGAGGCTAGAGTATCGGGGTTATGATAGTGCAGGAATCTCTATTGACTATGAGCCCAGCGTAGGGGCCAAATCCTCTGGTGGTCTGAAGGATCTGGCAATTTCTCATCCTCCGTTAGTTTTCCGCCAGTCTGGGAAAATTGAGAAGCTTGTGACTACCGTTTATCAAGGTACGGAAAGCTGTTCTCCATATTTCGAAAAACCAGCAAGTTCTTAATTCGAGAAAGAATTGCAATGCCCTTTGTCTGCCTGACATCCGTATCTTGCTGTGTACTGAGAACGAGCATCGAGAACGTGACATTGCTGACAATGTCATGCTTTTGTTCAACTCTTTTTCTTCTTCTGTCACAGAGGTTGATGAAACCGATCTTGATCTTGAGCTGTCGTTCCTGAATCACGTTGGTATCGCTCACACTCGATGGGCCACACATGGACCTCCGTCTCCGAGGAATAGCCATCCACAATCATCTGGTGAAGGGAACGAATTTCTTGTGGTTCACAATGGGATTATTACAAATTATCTGGTAAATTTTTGTCTGTTTTTTCTGTAACTCTAAATTTTAAAGTTCAGCACTGGAATGAGCATCGATACAAAGATTTATGATTTTCAGCATTGAACCATTTCTTTCGTCAAACCTTGATCTGTTACACAACTTCTTCCAAAGGCACTGACATGGAGACATTCTACTTCGTAATATTTATATATGGAACAAGTACAGTAGCTTCTATGTCTACAGTATCGCCACATGGTCGAAATTATTCTCTGTCCTACCTTGGCAAGCGGCATGACCATTTTTCCACTGGATAAATAGGAGTGAGCTCTTTGTGGGTGTCTGTAAATGACAAGCTCTTAACATAAATCATATTTATTTTTCATTCAAACCTTTCTGATATTATCATTTGCAACTACTATGAACAGGTTTTGAAAGAAACTCTGTTGAGACATGGATTCATATTCGAATCAGATACTGATACTGAAGTAATCCCGAAGCTGGCCAAATTTGTTTACGATAAGTTGTCCGAAGACACCAAGAAGACCCATCAGGAAGGTAGAAATTGTTGAATCTATCTGTCGATATTCTTCGATTTTCCTAGTTATGTTTCGTTGAGATGGTGTCAGGAGAAAATGCACTGAAGTCAATGTCTTTTTCTTTACAGGTTATGAAGGAGTCAATCTTCATCAAGTTGTCATGGAAGTGATGCGACAACTTGAAGGGGCATATGCACTTATATTCAAGAGTCCTCATTATCCAAATGAGCTCGTTGCCTGCAAGCGAGGCAGCCCACTCCTCATCGGGATTAAGGTTCCTGCTATTCGTGTCTTGAACTAATTGTTTTTAAAGAGTGCTCGCTACATCTTGCCTTCGTGTTCAAAACAGTTGAATTGAAATTCTATCTGATAGGCGTAATCGTGATGTCCTTGATGTTGAAGGATCTGGGAGATGAAGTCAAAACAAGAGACGGGTTTGTCAGTGCCCAAGACTCTGGCAGGCCTAAAGAGATTTTTCTGGCGAGTGATGCGAGTGCATTAGTCGAACACACCAAAAGAGTGATGATTATTGAGGATGATGAAGTGGTGCATGTTAAGGTAATCACTTTTCGCATGTGATGAGACTTAACAACAAAGTGCTGGTCTAGCAGTCAAAATCTTGCTGAATAAAAACCTTTAAGTATTAGAGTACATTATCGGAGCCTTGAGTCAATGCCCTTTTAGATGTGGTCTTTATATCAGTCAATTGTCATAGATATGTGAGCTTGGCATCTTGCAGTGAGGTTGCAATTTACATTTGCTGATGAGGAATCTCTGAAAAGATAATCATCGTGGGATCCTTTCTCGCTCTCCAGCTGATGATGAATAGCACTATTTTTAAGTCTCAAACTGGGTTACTTCTAAAGAATGATCGATTATGACCTAAAAATTACATGAGTAACGAGTACCTCTCCCTGGAAACGCCATATTGTGTAGGATGGTTCTGTCTCAATATTCAAGTTTGATCCTACGAGGAGTTCCGGTGGATTGCGGAGGCCTGCCTCTATCCAGCGAGCCCTATCAACGCTGGATATGGAAGTTGAACAGATAAAAAAGGGGAACTATGACCACTATATGCAGAAGGAGATTCATGAACAACCTGAATCTCTTACTACCACTTTGAGAGGCCGTCTTATACGAGGAGATGATTTTAAAGCCAAAAGCGTGCTTCTAGGTGGTTTGAAAGATCATCTTAGAACTATACGGCGTAGTAGGCGAGTACTTTTCATAGGATGTGGTACAAGCTATCATGCAGCTTTGGCAACACGGGCACTTCTTGAAGAGCTTTCTGGTATTACTAAAGTCTTCTTACTGTTGTTACTCTCAGAATCATGAACATGAATCAGATCTTAATATCGATGTGTATAGCTGCACTGTAGCGAAGAGACTTTATGCAGGGTTTGTATATCGCTGAAGAGTATCTCTGAAGGTATGCGACAGTTTACGGTTCTCGGAATATGTACGGAAATCGGCGCTAGATATGTATATAGTATTCAGTTTAGATACACTGTTTCGTCTAACCAACTTTTAAAATCGTTTGCAGGAGTTCCGGTTACTATGGAGATAGCCAGTGATCTGCTAGATCGACAGGGCCCCATATATAGGGAAGACACAGCTGTGTTTGTGAGTCAATCAGGAGAAACTGCAGATACATTACAAGCGCTGGAGTATGCCAAGTCTCATGGCGCTCTTTGCGTAGGCATCACAAATACTGTTGGAAGTGCTATATCTCGTGGGACGGATTGTGGAGTGCACATCAATGCTGGCTGTGAAATCGGTGTGGCTAGCACAAAAGTGAGTGTACACAATAAAAAAAGACAAAAGAGCCGTCATAACCAAAGCTAATGAATCATTTTCTAATATTTTTAGCCGATGTCCGCTTTTTGTATGTGCCACACACTTACCCTGGCTGCTTTACTATTGCAATGCAGGCATACACGAGTCAGATAGCTGTGATGACGATGCTTGCCCTTGCTCTTGGAGAGGACACAATTTCTACTCGTGCTCGACGGGAGGCTATTATAGATGATCTTCTTGAGCTTCCAAGTGAGTAAAATGCAAGGATTATACCTTCTGAACCATGAGTATGCTAGAACTGTAACAATATTACTGCATATTTGTGATAGTTCACTTTCATATATTGTTTGGTTTGTTGGATCTGCAGATATGGTGAAAGAGGTTTTACAGTTAGATGAGGAAATGAAGGAGTTAGCCAAAGAACTGATGGACGAGCAGTCACTCTTGTTATTTGGTCGAGGGTATAATTATGCAACTGCGCTAGAGGGTGCGCTGAAGGTAAAAGAGGTAGCGTTGATGCATAGTGAAGGTATACTGGCGGGTGAAATGAAGCACGGACCTTTAGCTCTGGTGGACGAGACTCTACCCATCATCGTAATTGCTACACGTGATGGCACTTGCAGGCAAGTAGTATATACACCTCTGTCTCAGTGTTCTGAGATATTCTATAAGTAGTTATATGGTGGCAATGCACATATATCTGAAATGTTGGGACAGCCTCCATGCTTGCATCATTATTGCTTACTTACCGAAGATCGGTCTCACCCGAAATCAGGTCTTATCTCACAAGTGCAACTCAAAGTATCTGTCATAATTGTTTCTTTAAGCACTATATAAGTAAGCAGACATAGCTAAATTTTTGTATTCAACTAAAGTTGAAGGATAAGATTGGATCTTAACATCCATGTCGTTCAGTTGTAACACCATCGTTTCTGTCATGTTTGCCAACAGCAAACAACAATCTGTGATTCAACAACTTCAAGCACGTAAAGGACGATTGATAGTTATTTGCAGTAAAGGAGATGCAGCTACGGTGTGCCCGAATGGTGCTAGTCATGTTATTGAGGTTCCTCAGCTTCAGGATTGTATACAACCTATTATCAATATTATTCCGTTGCAGGTTCGTGATACAAAGTTCCAGTGGTTTCTTGAAGATGGCTTTTAGTTTGGCCTTATGCAATATTCTCAATTGGTTTTAACCATTCCAAACGATTCTGTGTCTCAGTTGTAGATTACCTAGAAGGAATGTAATACATGTGTTGTTTTTCTCCTCTAATCCTGATCTCTTTCTCGATTGCAGTTGTTAGCATATCACTTAACAGTTCTCCGTGGCTTTAACGTTGATCAACCCCGAAATTTGGCGAAAAGTGTGACTACCGAGTGATGTTTTCAAATTATATCTGAAGAACTTCTTCAAGCTGTTTGTCAAGTGGCATTTTACGGTTGCCGATCAAAGGAGTGGGTCTCTATCAGTGATTTGGTCCGTGTTCTTCAGGATTGACATCAAGTAGCGTTGGTACATGCTGTACATTAGGTCCTCCATCCTACCGATTCATTATTTGTCATGTATCCAAGTAAGTCGGAGAAACTCGCATCTTCTGTCAATATTGGCAGGGGAATTTGTAGTTTATTACAGTAATTTATTATTCGAGTTATCATATCCGTGTGAATAAGATGACTTAAGGTTGTTAGAGATTCAAACTCTTTTTTGCGTCAGCAATGTAAATATCGCGTCAGTAATTTGAATTCTTCCATTTCGGTTGCTTACTGGATGCTTTTGAATTATGCAACGGGGCATCATAATGCCTACAGGACTCAAAGACTGTGACAGACTTCTCACATTTGCCAAGAGGTTTTTTCTATCATATTGCGTGGCCTAAACACCGTGATTTAATTTCAAAATTTCTCATCACCTCTGCCCCATCTTAATTTTTTTAAAATCTAATTTATTTCCGGTCCAGTCTACGCATATTGTCAATGCGTGTGCTTCCTGATGCACTTGCGTACGACGTGACTTCTTACGTACACGTGTTGTTTACTGTGTTTACTCGCTATCCAGACATCACAAAGAACCCTCTACGGCTTTTCAGACCCTGATAGGCTCGAAGGTGGGAAAAGGCTTGTAATCATGGGCTCCAGAAATATAGGTGTATCACGGGAGGCATTGGCCGGAGTAGCCTTGGTATCTAGTAAGGGATACTCAAAAGAGAGTTCTTTCGTATCTTGGTGAAGAAATGAAGGACACTAGGACTTTTTAGAACTTCAGATCGGTCACCAAGCCTCAAATCGTTTCATCTTGCAGTGGGGATACCATCACGCTGCAAATGAGAATAGCCCATTTATTAGTCATTTACACCAGCCCACATTAACATTGAGGCTACCAAAGCCTCATATGCTATTGTACTTCGTTACAGTAAGGACAAAAGACAAAGCTTGGGTCATGACGGGATGGTCCTCTTTGTCATGTTTTGATAATCCAAATTGTTGGAGTTATCTCGTCCGAAGTTGACCTCCTCAAGTTAGTCCTCAGACGTCATCATCCAGAGAAACGGTGAGTGGCCACATCCAGAAGACGCTAGTAGTCTATTAATCCAATGGCTCACTGATTGCAATTACAGTTACTACTCTCCATGTTTGTTACTACGGCTGATTCGCCGGCCACGGATAGGATGCCCAGGTTCAGGGAGGCCCAAACTAGGCCCAGAAGTAGCTTGTCCTGCTTGCATGCAGGACAAGCGGCCGAACCTTTCGTGGACAAGTAGGCGGGGATTTGCCTCTTGTGTCTTTGAAGGTAGTGGCTGTGGATGTCTTTGAAGGAACCTCTCGGTGCTTGGACCACTGCGGTTGGGCCACATTACCTTTTGGGAGGAAACTCCTTGAATGAGACTTCCTCTTTGAGACACAACATGGGTTTCCCATCCTTTTCCTTGCTGCCCCTTGTCAACGAAACTAAAGAACATATCGTATTGTCGTTTTCGATTAGTTATTATGTTGATGCTTGTCACTAGTTAGGAGTAGATATAGAAAGGCAGTGGATATATGATGCACTTTTTCTCTCGAAGTAACTACAGAAGAGAATCTGGTTTCCATCTCCGTAAAGGAGTGATACTTTCCAAAAACAGAATCGGAGAGAAATTCTGCAATTATCCTATCAACATCTAGACATGAAGGATGTTACACAATTCTTTTGGGTTTTGTTTTTAACCTTCCTCATTCAGTGTCTTATGCTTTGACTTAATCTAAAATGTTCTTGTGCTATAAGTTTACAGGAGATTATTCATAAAACCTAGATTTGCACATTCATGTAAAGCATACTTCAAATTTGTTTCCTAAGACAAATATATTCAAACTTGAGATTTATATATTAACTTCAATTAGAAAAACAGTTTGAATCATAGATCTATGTATGATCTGGTCATATCTTTTCACTATATGATATCATATCAGAGGTTCATGTGAGACTGAAAATAAAAAGATGGATACTTTATTTTGCTATGTTTTCTATCATTATTACTCGAAGTCAAGATTTTTAAAGACTTCGAGGACTCCAAATTAAGACCAATGCATGATGAATTCAACTAATAAACAGCATGTGTGTTCAATTGAAAGTGCATGTTTGAACTTAGATAAATCAACAAGATGTAAATACATGAATAAATAAAACCTCGCCATCATCAAAGCACTTACTAAGTCTGCGTATTTGCAAGTGATATTTGTTTTGAAGAGAATGATAAATATTTGGCCGATTTGTAAATACAACTCCACTACTGGAAGAATTTAATTCAACTCTTCAAAACATTATTCATGACTTTTTCTCTCAATACTGTAAGTAGGCATAAAGCTGCAGCAGATGAGAGATCTTATAGTTGCAATATATTCAGTTTGTGTTCCAAGACTCTGATTTTCAGCACTAGGTATTGCTTTTAAAGCTCAACTTCAGTAATTAAACATCAAAGAAATTCATTTTTTATTCTATCATATCACTAATAAATATGTTATTCCTTAATTTTTGTATAATCTAATGTAATTCTTATGTAACACATAAGTAATGATGTTACAACTCAAGAGTTACATAGATTGTGAAAATGGTCATATAGTTTGTTTCATATATATTTTTACGAAAAAATTCATGTATTGACATTGAACGTATCGTAGCTGCTGTGAAGGTTATGTGATGTGTTCTTTTAATCGTGAAGTATACATGCTACAGAGCTAGGTCTCTCCAAGAGTTGTTGCTAAAAGTGAATCATGAACGTCATCATAACGATTCATACTTCCTCTCTGACAACATTAAGTGCTTTGGACCTATAGGTCTAACTCCTTACTGTACTAGAGAGTATTTTCCGTGTCTCTTTTCTGTCCTAAAGAGTGTTTCTTCTCAGTATTCGTACAGGAGTTAGGTGAAGGCAATTATATCGCACGATATATGTGTATAACACTCGAAAGTGTTTTGTACCATGTTTGTTGTAATCCTTTCAGCTTATTCTCATAGCCCTTTGTAGCCCAAGGAAATCATATTCTATAGCTAATAGAATATATTTGAGTTACCGATATGCCACCGTTAAAAAACTAGCTACCAAAGAAATATTGTCTCTTCTCCTTGTTTAGTGTAAGAGCTTTTGTTGCGTTTATCCCCTTACTCATGTCAAAGATATTCATCCTCGAACTTTGCAAATTTTTCAAATTTTACATAATTTCGCAATCGGCCCGTTCACCGTATCAAGAAAACCTTGTTGAAGTTAATTTGGGTTGAAATCAGAAAACAAGTTGTCCCGATGTGTGGCCTGATCAACCTGTACCTGCGTGGCTTGCAAGGACTTTCACCTCGAGGTCATTTGAGTCATGTGGCTGCTACTGTCAGCGTACTGTCAGTGTAACGACCGGCTGTGAGCGAACGAAGTTACCGAAGATTGCGCAGAGCCAATGTCGACGATGGTCGAGAAGGTCTTTTGGAGAGATTTGGACATCCTCCCCACTTCCCGCGATCTTGGTGATCTGTATCGCCTCACACTAGACGCTTGCGTTTGTTTGGAAATTACAAACGCAATTGATCCGATCGATGTCCAACACTAAATACGATAAAGTTTGCGGTTGTTCGTTGTCACTGTGCTTCGAAGAAATCACTTTTACTTCAGGGATGCATTGTTGTATGATTCGAATGTGAAGTTAAAGAGAAAAAAATGAAAATAATACATGGATCCTTTACCTTACGAATAAGCTTGTTATACTGTATGTAGAAACAAATCTCATACAAAGCCCGCAGGATGATACTCCGCGGAAATCATCACTTTATGAATTTATAAATTTGGTTTGAAGTACCAAGTAAAATCACAAAAGGGATGGGAAACAAACCACTTAATTTTCTACTTGCTCTTAAACTTTTGCAGCACCTTTGCAGTATGAAAATAGTTGAAATAGAGTTACAAACTTACTTCTTGCGGGGTCAGTCACATCTCCTAGTGCTAAATTCTGAATGGTTTTATAGTTATCATCAGTTTCAAAGAATCCGATTAATGACCACGGCTCCTGCAACTAGACTCAAATAGATTACATAAATATCTAGTGGAGTACAATTATTATTCCCCTTTGAAGCAAAAAAAGGAAGGGTCTATATGGATATATTGTTAAAAAAAGTGTTAGTTTTCAACAAGCAACACAAGAACAAAACACATACTTGGATCCAAAGACCAGGCGTAGATCTTATTGTAATGGTAAATATATCATATAGTATCTATGCATCATTATAGATTGAAATCATATGCACAGATTGTTATTTATAGTACACAATTCCATCTTCACACAACCGCACACAAGCTACTTTTATTACATAGTAGTCATTTCTTCTAATAAGCTTGATTACAATTTTCTGCTTTAACGATTTCCAGAATTAACAATATTAAACCTGTAACTCTGTCCCTTTACCACATTTCCTGGAATATTGATTTATGCTTATGATAATTCCAATATAAAAAAGTTTCAACTGATACATATGCTCTACATGCTCGCACCACATAAAAGTACATAAATTGCACAGTTGATTTCTATTTTTCACGATTATAATTTGGCAGTCTTTGGTTTCATCTGAATCCAAAATTTAGGGATAAAGAGGTGATTCAAATAGAATGATTTACTAGTTTTATTAAAATCTTAAACCAATTGTAAACGAAAAAATGTGGACTTAATTTGTAGAAATGATTAAAAACTCATTAAATTTCGAGAAAAAAAGTTTCCAAAGTTTTACAAAAAGCTATTGCCAAATTACTTGTTTTGTGAATTGAAGGCAGTGAGACTACACGGGGCGATCGATTGGTAGACAAGCATTCATTCTCGTGTCCAGTATTGCTCATATATTTCATCGTTTGTCATCTCAAGGCTTGGCATTCGGTTAGGGTGTATCGGCCGAACCCTTCGATACCCTGTACCTTTCCGCGTCTTGCGAAGGACTTGAGCACGGTCAGACTTGGTTGCTTATTTCTTGTGGTGAAACATTTATTTACCTCTATGCTTCTATTCAGCACATGTACCTCTTTCTTCCAGTTCGGTGCGTGAAATTTGGACGATGAAGGATGATGTGTGAAGCACTCGCTTCCGTGCTCAGATGCGTTTCGTCAATACAGCAGAGAGGTAAACCATCAAGAATGCCCAATCAGTGAGTCAAGTGACAAGAAGATTCGGTCGTGAATTATCGCCCAACATGCAACCCAATAGCCCCGATGTTTCAAAGAGCAGCTCAACGATGTCTGAACGAGTCGTAATATGATCCATGAATGCGGTGGCTTCGTTCGAATTTTAGGCGACGTAGAAATTGCCGTCGACGGAATGGAACATGGATGTGACTGACCGCGAGGAGTCGAACACAAGAATAGATAAGAGCTCGGGGTCTACCACTTTACTTTTAAAATTTCTCGCGCGTCAAAGAAACAATGGGGTCGACTGATTTTGAAACTAATAACTGAACGTGAGCGGAAGGGCCAGCATCAGAATTCAGAATCGGGACTGTATACAGCAAGGCACTGGTCAGAGGAAAGTTCCATGTCATCCCGTACTGCCGAGGTCGTGATGGGGATGAGTGAAGCATGTGAACTGCGGTGATGCAGAGAAGGAAATTCACACTTTCTGCATGGAACACGCATTTCTTAGACATTCTTGTCGACTGACTCACAGACCAGCTGACGTCCCAAGGCATCCCACGAGCAGTTCCACCTCATCCACAAACCTACCAGTCCCAACGCTCCGGTACGGCACCTTACAGGAATATACAACACACGACTTCGACTTCGTCCCCAGCTGCGTCCGTGCTCTGGCCGAAAGTAAACCTCCGATTTGTGTAGGAAAAGCTCCTTCATGGGTCTTCCCATCATTTTTGTTATTCAGCTGTGTATGGCACGAAGATTGGGTAAGCATATCTTCATATCCTTCCATCTTAAATACAAGATGCAGTTCACAGCTTTTAAAAGATTGATGAGTCCGAATTTTTTTTGGGAATGTCTAAATCATAAGGCATTTGCTCACGATGTTCGATCAGTATTTGAAACACAGACTTGTCCTCCAAACAAGCTTTCTGAAGATGGATCGAAATCCACACCTTGAGACAGCATACCTCGCTGTGGTGACGTTTATCTGTTTCATGTCCACTGGCTCCAAAGCTGGTAAATGATAAAACAACACATGATTATGCCTTGCAACGAACTTGAGCATATACTTTTGAATAGATGGGTCATTAACCAGCTGCAGTTTCCATTTAAACACATCATCGTCTCATTCTGTAGATGCTTTATATTTAATCTTCATATCCTATGAAGTATGATCTTCATACTCTACTTGAGACTCGAGCTTTGGCTGTTCTTTCAAACTTTACAACGTTCAAAAACTCATTGAACTAGCAAGCGTGTGTAAAAAACGAGAACTACGTTGCTTGTGTGGGCAGGATTACTTTCAGCTCGTTTGACTGTTTACTATCGAGTTTGTTTCCTCTACTTCGATTTCAGGGCAGGATGTGTACCTCTTATATACTGCAGTGTGATTTTTCCCGTATATGTTATACCTTAGGGATAAAAATCACTGTAGTTATTTCAGAAGGGACATCAAAACGTATTATGAGGACATTGTGACACGTGTGGATGGTTTGTATAATGTAGAATGCATTAAGTTGGGGAGCGGAGATGGGGGAGTAACAGAAAAAGTTGTCATCACAGAAGAGAAGTACCTATATCACTAAAGTAGTGGCGATTATGTAAACAGTGGCGGAAAAAAATATGTACAGTACAGTCAATGTGCCCAACTGCGCAGAGAACCGTTTGTCTTATCGGCTGTCCAAGTCGTAGACAACAAGCATGTCTTCTTATGTTACGTCTTGTGTCTTTTACGCATCCTTGGAACCTTCACCGCGGTATATACCATAGACTAAGTTATCTTTCCATGAAAATAGTGTATATACTGAAATCCTTGACCAGGTGGAGCGCTTGTAGTGTCCGTAAAATGTGCGTGGAGCCCTTTTTGCCGTATAACATGGCCCAAGCGAAACACTGCTCGTTAGTGGACTCAAATGTGGGAGGGTCATATCTTGGATCGATCTTGAACAATGCATACGTAGCCCGGAACCTGACTAGTATTACGCCCTCAGGTATGTCCAGGACGTTTCTACGGTTCTACCAAATTTGGAGGAAGACCACTGAAGATTCGGGAATGCATGCACTTCTTTACATGTAAGAGGTCTGGTGGTTGTGCCCGAGTAAAATCTGGCAGCTGGAGTTAAAACCTGGTTATAAACTTAGAATAATGTACAGATGGTGATGGAGTCTTCAGGTGGAGTGCTCCAGCAAGTCATGGCAAGAGGAATTGAAGGCCTGATTAGAGCTCTTGCTGTATGATGTGCACTTGGGATAAGGTTTACCTTTTCCTTCGGTTACTTTTGCGGCAGTCATAATGAAAGAGTGTTCCTTGGAGACCTGGTTCTCCCGTGGTTGAAAGACACGGTCTCACTTGGCAGTTATGAGAACTGCCCTTAAGGTTCACTTTTTCAAATCAATAATGTCAAGAACAATGTACTTTGATGTGGTCGTGGAGTTTCTTGTGGAACAATATGAAAGTAAAACACCATAATTAACACTACTAGGCATTTGACTTTGATGTGTTAATTGATTGCATCAATGCTTCAGCATGGTTATCTAAGAATAAATTCGGTTATTCAACTTCTGCATAATCTGAAGATCTTTGATTCATATTTCAAACACTGAACGTCACACTTTTGTATCTTGGACGGGGCTGTCCTTGCGCTCTATGTATTTTGCGTGATATACTTTGCATCCTCTATCATCCCATCAGATTTCATAACAAACGAACATTACATGATCAGTTTGGCATCTCTCTTATTTTCAATGTGAAAACGTTGAAACACTAAGTCTTAAAGACTTTGAGTATTTCAATCAAAGTATTTACTCGTGAATCTCAATCTAATAAAAATATTTCTAATAGTTCATAAATCTATAAATGTAACTATGAAAGTAGTATCTCTCGCTTTTCATATCCACTATCCCGCATAAGAGTGTCTTGAGTGTTGTCTCCTGTCCTTTTCTTCTACTCTCATCTCGTTCAGAAGGGTTCACTTTTTGCGTCGTAGCATTTTTAGCACTGGGCTGAATAGCATCAGGTTCAAGCAGCAGCCATCAATGTTCCGACTCGAAATTAAGAAAATCATGGAATGAGGCATGGCTTCTCTCTAACTTTCTCAAAATGGCTACGTCGTCCTGGCGTTGAATAAAGTACGAAAAAGTATATGTACGAGCACGAGAGTACGCCGTACAGGCAGCCAGCCTCGCCAGCCTTTATCCACGTGAAGAGTGAACTCAGTGAGGAAGTGGGGAGGGGACCTCTGTAAATGTTACTGGATGCTGACGAAGACGGTGAGGATGATTACAAGGAAGTAAAACAGGGGAGTAAAAAACTGTGGAAAAGCAGTTTTACGTGGACGAGGAGGAAATGGGTTGATTCCTTCGTGTTGCCCGGAGCGGGGCCGGAGGACGAGAGACACAGACAAGGAGAGTGAGCGAGCGAGTTCTGGGGCCTTGTTGTTGTCGTTGCTGCCGATGTTGTTTGTGTCCCTCTGCCCGACTCGAATTTCCGTCCACTTTTGGTGATCTTGCTTCTCCATTTCTCAAGACAATCTTGCAAAGGTGTTGTTCACTTTCCTGCTCCAACGCCCGCGCTCTCTGTCGCCCTCCTTCTCTCCTCCCTCTCTTTCGCTGTTCGGTGCGCCTCTCTCTTGCCTTGTAGAGCAATCTGTCCGTCTGTGTCGAGGTTCGCGCAAGCGAAATCAATTGAGGCGTCCTCGTTTCTCCGTCACCTGTTTGGAAGGCCTGTCTAGTGGCCCTGCCTGATGTCGGAGGTGGGTACAAGTAGAAGCTCAGTGAAGTGAAAGTCGGACTAGCGTGTATATATAGTGGTGGCAATTGGCTGCAATTGGTTCTGTAGGAGAGATTTAATTTGTAAATTTCTTCGTTGTAGACGGGTCTGTGCACCTGTTCGCAGGTCTTATAGCACCGCGGTGGACGGGTGGAGGGGTCCGAGGATAGGGTTTTTTGTGAAGAGGATGAAAGGAGGAAGAGAATAATTGGCTCAATTGACCATTCGGAGACAATCTGAAGGTAGTTTAGGCACAGTGGAGACGGTGCACCGGTGGCCTGTAGGAGTGGGGGAGGTTGAGAGAACAGTTTTGAGGTTCTTGGGTGCTAGGAAGTAGGAGGGGTATGTGGAGGTGGTGGTATGAAGTGCGTTGGTTGCGAAGTTGTCGATAATTGAGTCTGTGAAGGAAGATTGGAGGAAATTGGACAGACGGCATATGTTTCGGGAAGAGAATTTTGTCCCAGGTTGTCGAGTAATTGTATCACCAACTCTGTCAGTGCAGTGTTTGTGTAAGTGGCTCGCTCTCGTATTTGCTTGAGCAACACATCTCTTTGCTCCGAATTGGGCCGCTGAAGGAAGCTCTGCTGGTGGAAGAAGCAGTGGAAGTCAGAATTGTGCATCGGTGATACTGCCCGGGTTGTACTGTGGTCGCTACCAACTCTTGTGATCTTTTTGTGGAGTTTTTTCGTTGTGTGTTCTTGAGGCAGTCGGACGGTAAGAAGACAAGAACGATGCGTGTTAAGTGGAACATCTGGGATGTTATAGACAAGATTGAGGAGTGGTGGCCGTGGCACGATCAGTCTACAGATGACAAGGATTTCAATCCAGATCTCAATCCGGTTCTTCTGGTACCCGGCATCGGTGGTTCAATTTTGAATGCCGTTGATGAGAAAGGGAAGAAGGAGCGTATTTGGGTGCGTCTGTTTGCTGCGGACCATGAGTTTCGAGCGAAACTCTGGTCCTTTTACAACCCAGAAACAGGTATCGACAAGGTCACATGAATCTGTATGCAACGGGCACCGCGATGATTCTATTTTCCATTTGGATGTTAATAACTGTTTTTCTTTCTGTTGTCCGACAAGCTCTTTTAAGAATAGCTTGACAAGGAAGTCTCGTTCTACTTTGGACCTCTTGTAAGTAAGTTCTTAGGAAACTTTTCTCGCTCTCAAGCATTCTGATGGTCGTTACATCATGCCAGGATGATGGTTGTTACATCTTACCAGATCGCACCTGTCCTTGATTATGCCTATGCATCGGTTTTAAGTATTCTTACGAGCTCTTCACGCACATTGCGCTATGAACCAGGAAAAACCGAGTCTTTGGATCCTACCATACAAATCGAAGTACCTGATGACAGATTTGGTCTCTACGGTTGTGACATCCTAGATCCTGACATTGTAAGCTTTCTCCTCGTGACTTCATATCGTCGACCAACAGTTTTCTAGTGTTTAGTGGTCTTAACCTCAGGAATCATAGCACTGTACTTCAAGTGAGTTTGTGCTCGGAGGTTGGTATTGGCCCCGGCCGAGAGAAGCAGGGAGTTTTGATTCAATTTAGGTTCTGTCGGATGTCAGCGAGCAACAGCTTGGATTCACTTCCCAAGACGGTCTCTTTCCGTAATTTCAGCTCTGCTTTGTATGTTTTTCTTATTGTCTTTGTGGATGGTCCAGATTTTGCGACTGGATGTTGTCTACTACTTTCATGACCTAATCAAGCAGTTGTTGAGCTGGGGCTACAGCGAAGGGACAACTCTGTTCGGGTTTCCATATGACTTCCGTCAAAGCAATCGGTACGTTTGAGCTTACTTCAAGAAGATCCGAGAATCTTACTGTGTTCTAGCTACTATGCTATCAGTGATTTAGATATACTTGGCACAATTTCTCTACGAGTGACGGCTTCGTACTTTTGAGATACTTCCTTGTGTACTGCGTTTTGAATCTGTTCCACCTATCTTCGGAAAAATCAAAATGTGAATTAGCAAATTACGGTAAGCCAGTAGTGGTCACTGCAGGCGGTCAGCTGAGGGCAAGCTCAGCTGACAACCTTCGATTTTAAAAAAAAAAATCAATACGCTAGCTGTTGTGGCTCCTATGCTTCTTTTGTGCTTACGTGGCATTGCACGAATGCTACCGATCTTGGAGAAAGGCCATGATAGAAGGAATGCTCGAAATTCAAGAACGGATATAGAACTTGATGAGTCGAATTTCGAGGGACTTGCGGATTATCAGAACATTTTGAGAATTGCTCAAGATGACGAGAATGCAAGCTGTTGCGCTCTAGGTTTAGCAAACGACGAGACAGTGTTCGTAATCGTTTTCAAGTTGAGGTCACGTAGTTGTTGTTGGACATTTTTTTCTTAATTGGTGACTAGTTGGTAGCTTGTATTCTTGTCCACATAAGCCTAAGCGTTGATCTCTGTACGTCTGCAGACTTCCAGAGCGCATGCAGGAATTTGAAACTAAGCTGAAGCAAATGTATGAAGCCTCAGGGGGGAAGAAAGTGGATATAGTCTCACATTCTATGGGCGGCCTTATCGTGAAGAACTTTTTGGCTCTTCACCCAGAGGTATAATTATTGTCAACTGTATGAATTGAAGTCCGATTAGTCAAGTACGATACTGCAGTTGGGTGCGAAGTCGAAGAGGCGTTGTTGCCGTAGTAACTGTGAAGAATTTGGCAACTGGCTTGTATCAATCGCGAGCACTGGGTATTATAGCACCAAAATAAAAATGCGGGAGGTAGCAGTATTTCACATCTTCCTTACCGTTTCCCTTTAATGTCCTACAGGTCTTCGAGAAATACGTGAACAAATGGATTGCTGTCACTGTACCGTTTCAAGGTGAGATAGTCGAGCTTTCCTCAAAGTCTATCCGTGATGCTTGAGTGTGATACTCGTGACACATTCTTGATATCGGCCTGCCCATTCCTTCTGCCTTGTATAATGCAGTAACTTTGAATTCGTATGCGATAGATGCAGTATCTGGGTTGTAAAGCGTTTCTATATAATCAACTTCCAGTTTTAAAAGAGGAAAGAGACTGTTGCCTGTTTTTTTGCAGCTTCTTAACATCTAAGTGCCTGGTTTTGTGTTGAGAAGACTCCACCAAAAGGATGCGAAGATCCTTTCTTACCTAATCTACTGCGCTATATGAGCAGGTGCTCCAGGGTTCATCATGGATTGCCTCTTGACTGGAGTGGAATTTGTGAAAGGCTGGCAGCGAGAGCTCTTCATCGCAAAGTGGAGCATGCATCAATTGGCAAGTCCCTTGTGTTTGTGGTCCCAAGTACAATTGATTCCTCATTTGATGTCTGTTTGTTGGGAGTTCCGTCGTTTATCTAAAATTTACGGTTGCAAAACTTTTTTGTCCTCTTGCAGCTGATTGAGTGCCCTTCCGTTTATGAACTCATGGCATCTCCACATTTTGAGTGGAATGATGTTCCTGAGTTGCGATTGTGGCATCAGCGAGTCGGAGGCAATGGAGAGTCAGAGTGTGAAATGGAAGTCTTTGGCCCCAAAGATTGCATTGGCGTAATGATGGCAGCGCTTAAGGACAACATGGTGAGCCTTGTCACACTGGATTAAGATCGCCAACTGCCAGTTATATTATGCTTAATCGTCGATGCAGTAAAGAATCTTACGGGTCTCGGTCCTTTTCTTCCGGCTTGTCGCCTTTAATCTCGAATGTGCCACTAATTTATGTAAAGCAAATCAACCTCGTTGTATTTGCTCAATGTCATGTAAGAGTCAAAGGGTGGATATCGCAGCCCATCATAGAAAGACGTCATCTCAGCCCGCGATTTTTCTCGTAAGTGCATCTGTCATTGAGTAATTTCTGCCTTGCAGCTGGAGTACAATGGAGAACAAGTGAATGTACCATTGAATCGAGATATAATGGCATGGGCGATGGAAACTTTTCGAATTCAGAAAACAGCCAAATTGCCCAAGAGCGTCACCTTTTACAACGTTTTTGGCACGGAGCTCTTAACACCTATGCATGTCTGGTAAGTTCCCGAGCGTAGAACTTGTAGAAGTCTGGTAATAAATGCCAGTCGCCGAAAGCATGGCTCTGCTCATTCTATCTTAAGAGTTTTCTGGTGTGGTTCATGTCAACAGCTCGAGATCTGTTAAGTTGCAAAGTAAATTGGTAGGTGAATTTGGCAATTATGTCATACCTGTCGTCGATTTCCATCTTAAACTATCGTCATTGTGATGTTGAATCGGTTGAGAATTAATCTTAGATGTTTTCATTGAAGATGTTCAATTTCTTAAAGTAAGGGAGCAACGATTTCGTACGACCCGATCAAAGAAATCTGTTTTATTGTAATGTCTTCATTCCTTCATTTATGTGCGCTAAAAGATTGTTCTTACGTTTTGAAAGTGTCTGTTTAAGAGTTCTGGAAAGGTTCTTAAATGCTTGTTTTTACTTCTACAGCTATGGAAGTCAGGAATCTCCAATACAGATGTTGCAAGACATTCTAAGAACGGAGGTATTTATTTGGATTATAGCATCTGCTGACAATTTAACATGACTTGTTTTCTTATTTGGATCATAGAAACATTTCTCAGTTTTCAGTCGTTGGTGATGCTTATTAGAGCCATGATTCTTTACGTTGACTCTGCAGGCCGACTATGAGTTCGCGAACGGCGATGGAACTGTACCGGCAGAGTCAGCCATGGTGAGTCCAGTATCCAACTGTGCCATTTTTTGGGTTCGCTTTGGATTAGTACGCCCTTTTCGTTTGGGTCTGTACATCAGTGAATAACTGTAGACAGTTAATGGTAGCGTGTATTCTGCAATGATGCAGGCCGATGAGCTGGATGCCAAGGCCAGAATAGGCATCCCCGGGGAGCACAGGGGCATTTTGAATGATGATCGATTCTTCAGGATCATGAAATCTTGGCTCGGCTGCGATACGGATCCGTTCTATGATCCTCTTAACGATTACGTGATACTTCCCACGAAGGCTGAGTTTGAGGAGCACAAGAGACAACGCATTATGATTAGCACTGAAGGAGACGACACTGAAGATTTAGTTACTGATTTTGATGAGAACGAGGATTATGTCATGGACATGGAGAAGGAGTACATTGCAACCATTTCATCTAGGACCTCTGATATTCGAGCTGAGGCTCATGCACATGTGACGAGATCGCGCCTGTCCGTGGCAGAGAAGAAGGATTGCATCGAGATCGATACTGTTGGAGTCGCAGAAGGAGCAGATGCGAAGAAGACCGCAACAGCTCTGGATCAAGCTATGGCAGCTGCTTCAGAAGAGGCGATAGCAGCCAATACAAGGGGTAAGAGAGCCACTATCATAGCTCGATGAAAAGGGCACAAAGATATATTCTAGGGATCTCTCACCTGTCTGCATGATGTTTTGTCCCTCAGAATGCCCCCGATGAACGTCGAATCTGGATCGTGTTCAGCTACTCTGGGCTCTCCTGGTCATATATTACGCATTAGGAATCGGCTTCGACCAATCATATTCTTTTAGTGTACATCACATGAATTGTGTTTTTTATCTTAGCGCACGACCCTTGATAGTCAAGGGCTAGACTGTACAGTGTATATGCCCTGTATTATTACTTGTCCAATAATACACAAAGCTCATCTCAGAAATCTGAGTTTGAGCTACGTAGCAGACTCTAACGACCTCTGTATAGGATGCATCGTTCCGGTAGTGTATACTTGTAATCATCACCCATTCGACTGAAAGCCTGTAAAAGATTGTGGATCATGACATTCTATGGCACACGTCCTGTTTGAAGGATTATTTTATTTGACAGACTTCGACTGACTTTGTGAGCTTACTGTACATCCTTTTATCGCATTGCATATAATGTATGCTTGAGATCTTCTCACCTCCTATGAAACATCGATGGAGAGTTGCCAATTTCCAATTTGTAAATTGCTCATGTATGGATGAACTCATCTTGCTTTGAGAAACTAGGTTTTACAAAGGGATTGTGGGATTCATTTTGTAATTTAAAGATCTACTTCTTGGGCGTCTTGCCCAGCTGAAACTCACCAATAGATAATTGACAGCTGTCTTAATGCATGAACCATTAATGAATAGCACTTAGCCAAGTGCTTCCCAGTCTTATGCATATCATTACATTTGTGGTCTCGAAGGCGAGATTCCATTATTGCATCCTGGGAATGATAGCTTCTTCTAATTAGCAATACTAATCTGGGTGCACTAGATGCGAGTCATGCAGTCTCAAAGTAGGTTGGCATATTTTGATCTAACCAAGGCCAGTCGTGGTGATTACCTGTCACACCACGTGGTCTATAATCTGTTTTTGGCACTTTGCTGAAGGACGAAAGTGGAGGAGTTGTGGTGTGTTGAGGAGCTCACCATCGTTTTGAGAATCTGGAGGTAAAGAGGAGTAGAACGGTAGGACGAAATAGGGAGTCCACTCGGTAAATGATGATATCGACACTGCCGTGAAACACGATGATGCGTTTGAATATAAGATCAGAAAAAGTATGCCGTTGATGGTCGATGAATTTACAGAGAATTTTGTGAGACAGGGCTGAAGTGAGGAAATTTCAGCATCTTTGTACCTGGAATGTCGGAGGAAGAAAAGCCTGTAGTTTAGTTCTGATCAGATCTGTTACATTCGTGGAGGGTTCTTGGTAGACTCTGGTAGATTGTGAGGTTGATGAAATTAACCACGAGGGAACAAGCTCAATGCAGTTGATCAGGACTTCTCGGTGAGAGCATAGTTTCGCTAAGAATTTCTTTGTCTATGGTGCCTGAGCAGAAACTGCTTTGGACATGTAATTACCGCCTGGTAGACGTTGTCTTTGTATATGTAAAGGTTAGCCACTGATGTCTTCAATAGGATGTCCAACTCTCGCTTTGTTTTGTTTTGACTTTTCTTAGGTTGAGTTGACCTCTAGTGGGAAGTGGAGAAGAAGCAATTAGTCCTTATCTCCGCTGAGACGGGAAAGGAAACTTCATAGTTTCTGCTAAGGCATGAAACCTCGTTATACTTAGCACGTAGGATTCATTAGGATCAAATTGAATTCGTTATTAATATGGACTAATTTCAGATATAGACATTCAAAAAGGAGTTACGGCATCACGTCAATTAAACAATTCTAAAACTTCACAGCTCATGAAGTTGTAGGTTTCGAGCTTGGAAGGGTGACTCGTTTCCTCCTACCTCTTACGTAGGAGATTTCACTTGGGTTTCGCTTACCGTTGAGTGAGACACTTGCAAGGAAAGGCAAATTCGGTCCCTGCCTTCTGATCTCGAGTACGGACTTCAGTTTATATATTTAAGTTTACATCTGCGGAATACGTTATGATCCCATATCATGCCGCTCCAGTGGACTCCTATGGAAGATCCCGCATTTAGAATAAAATCGCTCGGCAGACATTCCTGTTTCACCATTAGAAGCAGGCTTTTGGAATTCACTTCCGTCGTCACGGCCTAACGTCGAAGATGCACTGTCGAGATGAAGAATGACAGCTAGCAATTTGTTTGAAGTCTTACCGATGTGAAAAATAATAAACCGTTGTGGTGATGCCACTCTGCATGCAATGTCAAGGGCTCAAACTGTACACGAGGTCAGTTGGAGTCCAGACCATCTCACAAGTTCCAATTACTGGGAATCTGTACCTGACGGATCTCAATTTTACATCTCATTCTTGTAGTATCTTTTAGCTTTTTTTGCATATTTTTGTTGCTTGTTCACTGCATTTAAGTCCTGCTAGGACATTTTTTTCCTTCACTTTGTATACACTCGGTTCTGCGATTGTTGCAATTACATGGACCAACTCTACACCCTTAAGCTTACACACTGCTTACACAATTACTCAAGGCCAATGAAGTACCAGTCTTTGCGATCATTTGTGCGTTGGACATTATTCTCTTCATGGGCGCAACATCTTATTTTTGTGGAACCACCTTGTAAGGAAATCTAAACTATGTTACAAATATGATTGATTTACAAGTTACTAAGATTGAGGAGTTGTGAAGATTTATCCTTATTTAAACCTGAACTATTACCGACAAATTTTCATATTGAAACTGTTTCATTTAGAAATGATAACAAGAAAAGTGATATCAAATTTCTGTGCATAAACATTTCCATAAAATGAAATGTTATCATGAATTCATTTAGCATATCTATGAATTTTCTATATTTATTTCCATTCTTGTTGAAATATGCCACAAAGTATTGTAATTAACGCATTAGAAGCCAACTTGATAGATCAATTATGATAATATGACCCAAAACATCTTTAAAGGTTTAAACACTAACTCTTTAGCTGTTTCCCATCTTTATTCATGGCCTTTGCCTAGTATAGATGTCAAAGTTTGAGCTAGACTAACAAATATTTTCACAAATCTATATTAAAAATTGGTATATAATAGAAATCTCTTAAGTTGAATTTAATTCTCAAATATTGTTCATTTTTAAAAATTTACATCTTCTCACTCATCAATTGAATTTATTTTGTTGTTACTCTCATACAAATAACATACTTATGACTTGCCAAATTTACATTCTAAAACTTTGATATTTCGCTCTTTTTTTTCAAAATTTGAAGTACTTCTAATAAATGATGTCTATGATCATTCAAGGTTTTGTTATATACCAAAATGTCATTTAGAAAATAATTTTTTTTTGTTTATATAGGTGCAAAAAATAACGTTCATCAATCCAATGAATGTAACAGGCGCATTAGTGAGATCAATTGTATCATTTGGTGATACATTAAGCAATGTTTAAGATTAATTTACTCTTTACCTATCAATCCTACGTATCATCGACGTGACAACTATGAATACTGTAGTGCACTATAAGGTTTTTATAACTTCATCTTGAATAACTTTTACTTCATATCTAACTAACTAAAGACAGTTGTATAATATAATATTTCAATTTTTACATTTAATTCATTATTAAAAAACATATGGATTTTAAAAATCTTTTATAAATATAATCAAGCACAAGTCAATTTGAGTATTATATATTCATCTTTGATGAATTTTATATTAATTTAAAGTTATTAAAATGGATTATAACTACTAGCTAGTGTTTTATTTGGAATTATGAAATAATATTATATATAATAACCTAGAGAACAAACTAGAAAAAATGATCTAATCATGTGATACGATAAAATCTTGCTCATTTTATCACAAACAAGCTAAAATGATATAAAAATATAACAAATGAAATGTATGTTGCAAAAACATTAGAATTTGTCTTCAAATTGATACTACTATAATCTTCAGATCTTGAAATATTAACTTGGAAAAGGTCAAAGTAATGTATGGGAGGTAAGAGGAAAAAAATTGTACAAAACTCACCAAGTAAATGTATGATATTAGTTAATATGGAGAGATTGAAGATAACAGATTTTATGTTTGAAATATCTTTGAAAATGCTTTTATTGCTTGCGGTAGAGGTCGAAAGTGAAAAAATTCCATTGACATATAGGAAAGACGATTTCTATGTGAACAAAGTACTTGCATGATATCATCGAAAATAGTATCCAAATTTATTAAACTATAAACTTTAGGCTTATTACTGAATCTATTTAGCTGTTATGTTTAGATTTATTATCTAAATCTTTAATGTAGTATGTTTTATTTTGTTGGAATGCCAAGTTCAGAGCACCGTCCTTGAACATTCGTTGGATCCTCGAGTTATTTCCATGTCCCTGAGTATTGATGTGTGAACAGCAAAAGTGCAGTTGGAGGCTCAATAAGTTCCAGACGCAGTCCTGTCTACGAAGTTGTGTATTGTGATGTCTGTCTTTGCCTACCTGGTTAGGGTTTGGCCTGATGGCAAGGCTGTCAACACTGCTGAGCGGCTGTGAACTTTTTCTCAGCTGTCGAAAAGCTGTACAAATGCTTGAAAGTCTCATTCGTCGTTCAAAGTCCGCTGTCTGCCTTCCATTCCTCTCGAAGAACGACCAGATTGGTTTTGCAAATAGAAGATGTGCTGCTGGCTAGATCCTTTGATGTCTTTTAGATTCTTACGCACGCTCCTGTGTGCTCTTGTGATTTGCATGTGCAAAGTTCTTTCGGAGAATACCCTCTATACGCGCCCTGTGTCCACGATCTAGGTGTCTCACGTTGCCATTAGCTTGTCCGTCCTCGTCTTTGAGCACCAGGAATCCTATCGTTTGCAGTCCTCTGTGCTGCGCTACACCTCAAAACCGAAATTGCTGATCGCGTTTACTAGGCCGAAACTTGATGTACGGGATGGGTTCTTAGCGGAAGTTTGCTCGATCCTGTAGAAGGTTTGTCATCACATCGAGTTCGTGGAGCGACTGAGCAAAGTTAGCATAGATGTCTTCGAAATTCTTTGTGTTTACGGACTGCATTTCAGGCAGCCTTCCGCTCCTACATGAGTGGAAAAGGTGTTCTGCGGTCCTGATATTGACCTCTTGTTTCTTTTCTGTCTCACTAGGGAGCCTCGGCTTTCATTTAAGTGAGTCACGTAACGCAGGAGCACATCCAAACTGTCACCGGAGTCCCCAAACCCGTAAATAAGTAGTGAGCCGTCCTGAACAATGCCGCATCGGCTTCCGTGCACCACTTAAACTGATTACCTGTCGGTTCAATACATAACCATCAGTGTATGAGCGTGGTGTCTAATTAATACCCACGGCCTGTAATCACCCCACCATGTGCACAGTGGTGGAGTGAAGGTGGTTGGTGACACCCGTTTCTGCAAACACCGCATGGCGTTCGTAAATCACACGTTGTGTCTTCGGCGAGCCGACTGTCAAACCGTTTCTATAAACCTAAAAGATTGACTCAGAGATCTGCGTCAGAGATCTATGACAGTGGTCTGGACAATTTATTACATTTCTCGTAGCGAAATTGCCGAACACCTACGAGGCTTGAGATGGCAACAACGTCACAACGTGTGTACTTGGTGATTGTGACAGTTTCAGATCTCAGGATGCAAATAGTATGGCTTATCGACACAGGATTGCAAATCGAAATCTTCATCTGACTGAGCTTGAAACGCCCAAAATTAGATGGAGACACTGAAAGCACTCGCCCTTAATCGAGTGAAGAGCAAAGTTGAACTCTTGCCGTGATGAGTGGCGCGATCATGAATGTCATGCCGTTCAACAGCCAAGACCATGCAATAATAACGTTTGACATTTACCTCATAGTCGTCCCGAAGACGAACCAAACAAATTACAACGAGCTGTCGAACAAGATCTTTGACTCTGATAGCGGGATAGTAGGAGACAAGCTGACAACATGCGTAGTCTGTCTGGAGGAGTAGTCAAAACTGGATCAACACGCATGTATGAGACGTTACCGGACGACATTGCAGGTTGGCGGAAGAGAAGTGGAGCCAAGTACTTTACGAGAGCGATGAGACTAATCTCATGAGGTTTTATAACGATGGACGAAGATTGTTCAGAGGTTGCCATCCAAATGATGGTTTTCTACTGGTGACAAAAGCAACGCGAAGAAGCATGTTGATTTACCCTTTCAATAACTACTGTCAGTTCGTACATTTGTTCTTACAACATTCTAAGCTTTTGAAATTTACTCCCCAAAAGAATTTGCTCATTGAATTACAAATCATGTAGTGAAAGTCCTAACAATTCAAGTGCAGTTGCGCCCTCGTGGACCCAGTTAGCTTGTGCAGCTAACTTCATTTCAAGCGAATTTACCCTCTTCTCTTCTTCTTCTTTTTTTTTTTTTTGTTTGTTTGTTTGTTTCGCGAGGATCTTTGAATCGCACAACTTTCAACAAGTATAGAGAGTCAAGGTTCCGTACTCGACGAGTTCCGTCGAGTACGGAAGGCCTTGAAGAAATCCAAAGAAAAATGTTAAGTGATAAGTGTTGACTCAAAGAAAAGTGAGAAGTGAGACAGCACGAAACCTGCGTGTCTGCATGTGATGATTGTGAACACGAGAGAACTACTATTCAGAATATATTATGACTCCACAACGGAATATCTTAGAGATGGATATCTACAATGCATGGAACTAGAGATAGATTTGATTGGGATGGAAAGCCAGTTACCTCCAGAAATAAATTTTCTTTGTTGTGTTATAAATTCTCATAGAATCTCCTCTATTAATTCGTGAAAGCCGTCATGTAGAGGTTCGACTGTAATTTATGAAAGTGAATTCTTTTTCGAGTGAAAAGATGATGAGAACTTCTCTCTAGTTAGAACAATAAATTATATACAATTGAAAAGATTTGACGGACAAAACCATCAAAGTAAAATATTAGAATTAGGGGAATGACATTAATGTAATGAATATGGGAGTCGGATGACGTCCACAACCCCACGAGATTGGAAAGAAGCCATACAGAAGCACTTGCTTCTGAACATACACTATGTAGGACCAAGTGGAAGCGATTTGGACGGCTAGGCATCTCGATGAACACACTACCGTCCGAAAACTCAAGTGAAGCCTTTTCTGGCTCGGGATTTCAGGCATACGGATCAACAGGGTAAGAACGACAGCTGCCACCCAAGTCAAGTGCTGGTTTGGTCGGTCACAGGGACAAAGCCATTATTTCAAGTGAATCTGGAGCTGCAGCAAAGTAACTTGGTTTCAAGAACATTTCACCATTTGAAAACATACGTGTTCCTTGGGGGATTTTACATGTCTGAAATTTCCATTGTCTCTCAGACGGGTGTCTCTCTAGTTCAGTGCATGCTTGCACTTTATGTTCATCTTCAAACTGAAGATTTTATGCTCCTGAACTCTCCCCAGCCATACCTCCTACGACTCCTCGATGTGAAGCGGTGAACCAACATCGGCAAATTCTCCGCAATCCAATGAACACTCATCAGTCTAGTTTAGGATGGGTTCACCTTATTGCGGGGGCTGGTTCCATAGGTCAACGGAGTTTTGAAGCTTTGTCCCACTGGACAGTAATTTTTCTCCATAAAGTTTGCAGAGTATGCAGTCATTGATTGACGATTGTTCGTCATTCTAGTGAGTCTTGAAAGGCCACCGATCACCGCAAGTGGAATACACTTCATCTCATAACATACCTGTTTAATTGATCACTTCGAATCATACAACTGACATTTTGTTACAGATTCAAAGAACTCCATGCGGAGATGGCCAGAATTATGAATGCAAGAGCCCTATGTTCATAATTGATAATCTGGTAGGTGGAATCTGGATTTAGGTCCAGTGATGGAGAGACCAGTGCAGTCCAAAATTGTTCCCGTCTAGGATCTGCAATCTAAGAGAGGGTGGTTTTTCAGCTTCTTCAATCTGACTGAAACGTAGATGAATCCAGCAAGAAAGAGCATTACGGAAACATAGGACGGCTTTACTAGTTCTAGTTTCACTTCAGGTGAAGGCATCGAGTAGAAGTGGGGTTTTTATATGTGAGGTGATGACTTTCTATATACTAGTGGAAAAAGGTGACTTGCGTGCTCCCACAGGGCATTGTCTTGATTGCTCTATATCATTCTGTGCTCAGTACTGTGTGGTCCATTTTAGTTTCTTTCCACTCGTGGACCTCGCAATAAGCTTTAGAGTTGCCTGATCCCTCTTTTGCCTCTTCCATCAATGTTTATTATTTTGCAGTGAGGTGGACTGGCAATACTTTCACTATTCCGATAACAAATAAACTTGCAACAACATAAAGTTTGGATTTGATCTGTTGGGAGCAGACATATGTGCGGAAATGGTTGGGTCCATTCTTAAAGTTTCAGTGCAAAGGAAAGGAGCATAGTATAGACTTTAATTCCATTACCTCATCATTGGCAACCAAGGACGTACAAAGTTTTAAATATGGTTGTATCCGCAGGAGTCATAGTGTGCCTACTGTCAAACATTGCAGTATAGGATGAAATTTCCAAGAAATCCAGTACCATAGGAGCTACGGATTCTCTTCAAGAATGACAGTTAGTTGGTATTTATATTCTTACACACACAGTTAGTTGGTATTCAAATTCTTACACCAATTTGCAGTGGTAGTTCAAATACTATGGTAGTAATGCAATGCGTCTTTCTGAAAGGATAAAAGTTCACAGCCACTATTTTCCGCAGCCCATCTTTTCGAAGAGTCATGCCAAAGAGGTACGAATCGTACATGAAGGTCAAGATTTCTCGAACGATGCAAAGTTCTGTAGGTCAAACACAGTTGCATGGTTCGTTGAACTTCACTGCTGTCAGGCCCTTGGTTTGAGCTGACATTCCTAGCAAGCCTGTACAGTATGAAGCTGACATCAAAACTTCAAAGGCCCAATCGGGCTAGCTCTTATCACTAAGGTAGAACAGTTCGACGAATTGAAGCTCAATGTCGAGTAGGGATCGTTGAAGCTCGGCTTTGGGAATACGATATGGATTTGGAGACACATGGTCTCTGGTGTGTTTCTCAGCACCGTCTGTGGTGGTGGCGGTACATGAGAGTATACGAGTGTGACGGAAACACACAGTAGCCGCAAATTGGGGCCACCAGAGACTCGGCTGCTTGACGCAGAACTTGCTGATGTTGGATGATGGAAGCAGGGAATCTGTAGGGAGTGTAGATCTCCTTCCGGCCCCGTAAGGGCCACCAGCCAAGGAGGAGAAAGCAATGGGACATGAATGTGTCCTGAATCCTGATCTTCTGATTTGTCTCTAATAGCTTGACTGCTCCTGGCCTCGTGCACACGTAGGAAGCAACTTTGGTGTGGCAGCAATGGTGGGCCCGAGGTCCTGCATTCATGCCCCTCAAGCCCTGATGCCTTTGCTTGTCGCAAAGGGACTCTATGTCAAGCGTTATAAAACTCCTAGCAAATCGCCGGCATCTGCCATTGTCATCGCAGTCCAATCCATCAAGTAGCGTCCCCCTCCTCTACTCTCTTTGATGTCTGGACATCCAGCAAATCTACAAGATTCTACTCCAGAAACGCTTTCAGTATCTCTTGGCTGCGAAAAGTTTACTTTAGTTTAGAGGATCATCCAGTGAGAGCGCTTTCCCTTCTGTCAGGAGCTTATGCTTCGCTGAATGGTCTCCTCCCTTGGACTTGGTCGAGTTTTAATGTACAAGTTTCACTCTTAGGTCTGCTCCGTTTGCTGAAAGCTGTCTGTTCAATGTGGCTCATAAATCTCTGGGCAGGACAAAATTTCAGTGCATAGTGTTCGTTACAACATCCATAGAGGTCTTGGATAGTTGAACAGCGAGAATTTTGAAACACCACCGCGGTACTTTTAGGCGCTCGAGCGTCAGTGAGATGCATGCAGCAGTACCGAAGTGACGTGCACTGCATTTTGATTATTGTGCAGATCATATAGAACGTCCTTCAGCTTCTTCGTTCTGTATTGACTTCGAGGAGCTATGGTTCCCCAGAGAGACTCAGTCGATGGAGACGCCTCTAGTTCCGTGCATGTGCAAGAAGTGCCCGTGCACAATGTGGCCGGGCCTACTGTGGACTCGGAATTCGAAGCCAGGGATCTATGGGGCAAGCCGTTCTCACTGCCAGTAGATTCCGAACACAAAGCCAAGAAACTGAAGCTGCACTCGTTTGCTGCACCTCACATGAGAACTTTCCACTTGTCCTGGATTTCTTTCTGCACGTGCTTCTTCTCCACATTCGCTGCCCCTCCTCTGATGCCGGTGATTCGGGACAACCTGAATCTGAACAAGGCAGACATCGCCAATGCTGGAATTGCCTCTGTCTCGGGCTCCATCATTTCCCGGCTGCTAATGGGCACCATCTGTGATTTAGCCGGGCCAAGATATGGTTGTGCGATCCTCATCATGGTCACGGCCCCGGCTGTGTTCTGCATGCCCGTCGTCGGGACTGCCGACGGCTTCATCCTGGTGCGATTTTTCATCAGCTTCGCGCTGGCCACTTTCGTCTCCTGCCAGTTCTGGATGAGCTCCATGTTCAACAGCAAAATCGTGGGCTTTGCAAATGGCCTGGCTGCTGGATGGGGCAACCTCGGAGGTGGCATTACTCAGCTCATCATGCCTCTGGTCTACAACCTCATTCGGCGACACTTTGGAGCTGAAGACTACGTCGCTTGGAGGCTGGCTTTCTTCCTACCGGGGGTCATGCACATCGTCATGGGCCTTCTCGTCCTCATGCTCGGCCGTGACCTGCCGGATGGAAACTACAGCCAGCTCCAAAGGTCTGGAGACAAAGTGAGCGACAGCTTCAGCAAGGTGAGCTCCAATAGTCCAGCATATGACACTGATTCCAGGTTCAGCTTCTCGTAAGCAGACTAGAATTCCCAGGTCTTACATGAAATAGTTCAGTAGAGGGATTGCATTTGCTCACTCAGTCAATCACATTCTATTTTTTTTATCATTTTAGGTTCACTTTTCAAGTATATGCACTGATACCAGGTTCAAGTTTTCATAGGATGTAGCAACGGGATCAAAATTCTCAGAGTTGAATAAATATTTATTCAATCATTTATTCAGTTCCATGACAATTTTTTCATGTAGCTTCAATGGCCCAGAATATTGCACTTATTTTAGGTTTAATTTTCTTACAAAGGCTGTTGCAGTGGGGATAACAGAGCATCATAGATCTCGATTTTATCATATTGGATTCCAGATATTAAAATATACTTCCTTGGCCACAAGTTAATCTGGAGTCGTGATCTGATGGGCTTCGTTTGGCTGCAATAATTTTTCAGGTGCTTTATTATGGGGTGACGAATTACAGGATGTACATATTTGCGTTGACCTACGGCTTCTGCTTGGGGGTGGAGCTGACAGTGGACAATATCATCGCCGAGTATTTCTACGATCGCTTTGATGTGAACCTCCACACAGCTGGAATCATCGCCTCCACTTTCGGTTTGATGAACCTCGTTGCCCGGCCTCTGGGAGGTGTGATGTCCGATGTGACGGCTCTGAGGTTCGGAATGAGAGGGCGGCTGTGGAGTCTGTGGATCATCCAGACGCTCGGGGGAGTTCTGTGCATTGTCCTGGGAATCACTCACCAGCTGGTGTCGTCCATCGTCGTGATGCTGGTCTTCTCCTTCTTCGTGCAAGCAGCTTGCGGAGCAACGTTCGGAATCATTCCTTTCATCTCTCGGAGATCGCTGGGAGTGGTGTCGGGAGCGACTGGAGCTGGAGGAAATGTCGGGTCCATTTTGACTCAGCTTCTGTTCTTCACCAGCTCCAAGTACACCACAGAGAGTGGCATCAAGCTCATGGGAGTCATGACGGTAGCTTGCACTGCTGTGCTGGTTTTCACCTACTTTCCCCAATGGGGAGGCATGCTCTGCCCTCCCACTAAAGCCACGGAAGCCGATTACTACACGAGCGAGTGGTCTCCGCAAGAGCAGGCTGCTGGCCTCCACCTTTCGAGCCTCAAATTCGCTGAAAATGCCAAGTCCGAGAGGGGTAAATCGAGAGTTGCATCTGCAGTCTCTGTCACCAACCTCTGAGCTCAGAGCGCCATGCGGCGTCCACCTATGATCGACTGGCAGACTGCAATTGTTTTAAAAGCTGCCACCCTTGGAATTGCTAGCTTCACAAGAGCGAGCAATCAGGTGTCGAAAAGCTCAAGTCTACAAACGGTTGAACCATCTAGAATTACACAAGCAAGCATACAATGAATAAATCACTCAAGCAGAATTAGATTTCGAGTAGGAATAACGACCCGAAATGCTTTAATATATGCTTCAGCCCAAGCAGGAGAAGAATGCTCGACACTTGTACAACTTCCAGCCTTCGATCCTCGTACACAGTGCAGAGCAATACAACAGAGCTCTCCATGCCATATAGGCAATCCGACTCAAATTCAGCAGTGGGAGTATGAGCAGGTTTCTTTTGCGACCGGCTAAGACATCAACAAGCTCGGAAGCTTAGGGTAGATGAAATCGATCCGACGTTTTCCGAAGCAAGCTCCTAAATATTATGCTGGCGAAGCAAGCTTCAAAGTACAACAGCTGACTGGTGAACAATATCGAGCAAAGTTTGCAAACCTAAGCAATAGTAGATCCCCTGTTCTCAACCTCATACTTCCTTCAGTCTCACTTTAGTTAGACATAAGTACTCATCCGATCAGGTTGAAGGGCAAAACGAAGTAGGTCGGCTGATGGTGATCACGACCTCTCCACTTCATAAAGCCTTTCGTTACGACACTGAGTTCAGGCAGCCCTGCAGGCTGGAACGTGCTTCACGGTCAGCCGAGTGGCCGACCATCGTGCTGTAATTCTCTCGAGCTACATACGACGACCGTAGTCTGATATACAGTAGCTCCCACCCCTGTCTTTGCTCTCCAGGAACGCAAATTGCCTCCATCTCCAACATATCTCTACTACCATGTCTGCTTGGGGCTTCGAAATCCACATACTGTGGTGTGCTTGTTGATACTATTTCGAGCATGAGGACCGTCGAAGTAGAGCTAAAATATAGACTAAAGTTCTCGCAATTGATTTTGATACCAAATCAATCCCTGATGCACGTGAATGTGCTCACACCTTCGGTTGCTACTTCCCACGTGCCGTTTGCTTTTCGACGATGGCTTTCTCTCAGCCCTGTTACAAGTTTCCAATAATAGTGGCACGAGTAAATTATCAATATTTTGACCTCTGAGTCCGCATGACTGTGCAATCGGATTGTCCTGTCATTGAGGGGAGGAGATTCCACTCTCCTACTCTCAAATGTATGATGCCTGCTTAGATAGATAGATAGCTGCTGAAGTCGGTCTGCTTAAGTAGCCATAGTCTTCAAGAAATTGCGGAGGAGGGCCTCTAGAAATTTCGCTTCTATTTCACTTTGTAATATGTACGGCTTGACTGATTCCACGAGCTTAAAGTCTTAAGCGCATGTAACTGGTCCATGACCCGTTTGGACCCATGTTGTCTTTCGTTTTACTTCCTTCTCATAACTATTTTTCTTCTCCTATGTCTCTCCTTGAACCACTGAAACACAAGTTTGTCCGTGTGAATTGCTTCATAACCTGAAGTCCACAATTCAACAGCGAGATGTGGAAAGGGCATTTCGACATGTATGAATGGGTACTAGCGTCCCTGCGTCCCAAAATGGCCAAAATGGCCAAAAGTGCAGATATGTGTTCATGAACTTTGAGAGCGTCTTCGGTGAGCTCGAGTGCTTTGCTGTGAACGAGGCCGAGAGTATATTATGTGCACGGCGGCTCATCGTGCCCATTATGAAGTTGGGTTATCGTGCATGTTAGTCATATTCAGACAGAAAGAAACGAAGAAAAACAGGACTCCAACGCTGCTTGAGCATGGTTGATGGAAAGGCTCCTGCTGCTTGAACGTCTGTAAAGACCGAGGACCTGCTGATTTTGATCGATTAATCTCACTCTGATTCTGTCTTGGGCCTCCATTCCACACCGGTAGCGGCAACTAAATCAACTAAGTAACATGCGAAGGGGCTGGATTTGGTCTGTCGCCTTCATATAGTGGGCATGAAAGGATAATCTTTGTCTACGTTCTGCCATATCTCCAAAACTGATGAAGAGAATGTTTGAGGGCTGTAATCTAACTACTCTCAGAAGAAAGATCAGATCTCTCTCGACCACCAGGCAAACACATCTTCTGCTCTGCAATTTTTTTGTGAAGATAGAGAAGATCTGATTGTTTGCTGGATGGCCCGAGTCGGAGGAAACTCGATGCAGTCTGCACAGAGGTTGTGATTTTTGCCCTTGAAAAGAGGAGCTTTAAAAGCTTTCAGTTTTACGGGAAATACTGACTGATCTGTTACAGTATGATCAGAATTTGATGAAGTGTTGACGAATGATGCAGGGTCACCACCATGAGTGGCGGAGGGTTTGAATAAAGAGGTCTGATAAAGCGTTCAATAAGTCCTCATTCGCATCGGAAATAATGTGATCATTACTGTGACATTCTCATTAGGCGTTTCAGTTATACGAATGCGTTCCAGTGTACGAATGTCGGCTCTTTGTAGCTTTGATGGGGCCATTCCACTTTTCCCCGTACAACTGTCGGTTCATCTCAATTCACTTCATTTGTTTGCATCTTGTACTTGCTACGGACTCAGTGACGACAAACAGACTTTTGACGGCGTCTTCGGTCGGAAGGGGCAGCATGCTTTTCCGCAAAACCAGGCAATATGCCTCCTGGCTAATTAAAGCAGGGATTTCAGCATACAGATCAGGAATTTGTTGGTGCAAAAGAGTATTCTAGCTTTGTGATCTAGTCTTTTTTAGTAACCGCTGTTTAATACCTGAACGAGAATCAGATTCAGAGCTCCTTTCACGCAAAAAGCTATCACGCCATCTGAGATATTTAAGTTTAGTTTCTGGGACATTCAAGAAGTTGACGAGAAAACATCTGAATGTGTTTGATCGTATCCATCAGCTTGTTTTATTTGGGTCCAATATCAATATACTCCTCGGTTCAGGATTTTAATATTAATGATTTAATTTTTTGAGGAACACGGTTTCAGGATGGTTGGACTGGCACGTGGTATGTGGGATTGGTCAATGAGATATGTTACTCTGGCGTATATGGTGCATCAACTCAGCCTCCAATGGACTCTGGATAAGAATTTGTAAAAGCAAAGGGAAGCAAGCAGTCGTAAAAGTGCAATTCTTGTTCCACTTTGCTTGTAAACAAGCACACTGGATCCTGTCGCCTGCCTCCTGTTGCAAACGCGTGCAACTCATGCCAATCGAGTTGCCGTCATTCGAGTTCTGATATTCGCATTTCGTGCTCTAAGAATCTCATCCGTCCACGGGGATTTTCTCTCAGTTTTGATCGTTAGGTGGTCGCAGCGACCCAACTGTCCGTTTTCCAGCTGCTTTTTAATCTCAATCACTGGACTCTTCAAGGTGGTAGTTGCACCCACAAGCCATCCATTGAGCAAGCGAGCATCGCAGAGGTCTCGACAATCTTTATGACGAAGAATCTGTAAAGTTTGCAAACCCGAAATTCCTGCAAAAGCTGTGGTTGCAGCCATGTTGGAAATTCTAAAACCAAGCGCAAGGTGAAGCTTGGAGCGTGTGTGAGGAGTCAGAAAAAACTGCAGGAGAATTTGAGGTCCGGGAGTTTGGTCAAAGATTTCCACTTTAAAGCAAATTAGGAGCTGTCACACCTCTGCAGTCAACCAGCCCTCCCAGTTACCGTTCAAAAGATGAGCATGAGTTTGAGCCTGTTGAAATTCATACCATATCCCACACCCCGCAGACCTGTTGTCCTAAGAACCATGGGAAATGAAATGTGAAAAAGGTAGGTACAAACGAGTTCTCAAATCTGAAAAGCTCAGGGAGTTGTGTGTCATCACCGGACGCTGTGGGAGGCTGAAAAGCTATAAGGCAGGTGGGGGTCCTGCCGATTGTCAAATAAATCTATACCATGGTTCGTTCCAAGTCTCGATTTATTTGTATAAAATCTTCATTCCATGTCGCACTTCCAACACTTTTACCATAATTCCTGGACACGAAAAGAAAATCAAAAGGCGGAACTTTTGAGAACTATACATGCTATTGTAGCAACCAGTCTAGTCTTTTATTATATTGTCAGCCATTATTCCAGTCAATCTGCGTCAGGCAGAAATCAAAGTATGACCATAACATATCTAAAGGTGCATGGGTTCCGTGGGTCCTTCTCCACTGCCGTAACATTGAAGGAGTTTCGAGAAGTCCATTTTCAAACTCTCAGATCTGATCCAAAATTACAAGCCCATGAATCCCATGTGAGTATTTCACTGTTTGAGGAATATTTTAGCACTGGTCAATAGACAGAATATCACATTCTGAGAAATGCAGATCCCTAGTGTTAATGATGAGCAACTTGACTATGATCTAAAATAGCCATCAGAAGGATATTATCAACCCTGTCGATCGTAAGCAGCCCTCTCGTTGCCATATCCTCCCATGTGATTTTAGGAATACTCAGTGTCGGCTCCATTAAACACTTAAGCTAACGTCCAAAGGGGGAAAGATGCATGATTCAATTACGGTCGTAAGCGGGTCGATGTGATACGATGAAACAAACTCGTGCCAGATTTTTCCATTCAGTAAATCATTCAGAGAATCAATATGGATAAGGAGGTGAAGTTACCTTATCTCAACGCCACATGTCAATAGATCACTTGAGAGATTTCATGGAGTCAACTGCCGATCAGCGAAAAAGGTCTCAGCTTGACACGTACCGAAAGGCTAGTCTATGAGCAAGTATTCAACACAAACACAAGTTACCATGAAGAGAAAGTTGTTGAAGAAAGCTTGAACTGCTGTAGATCAGCAGCTTCAAAAGTGGATATTTGAGACATGGTTTTGGAGCTCCCGATAACGACTCTTCAGTTTCAGATAAACCCTGAAAGCAAGGACTTTTCTGTTCATTTCCCAGATCAGAAGTCGCGTCACCATCTTCTTCTTCGAGCCTTTCATGTTTTCGTGAGTTCCTTCCCTGGATTGGTTCAATGATTTGAAAGTAGCATTATTGTAGGCTATGCGATAAGCTGCAATTTTTGTTCGCTTAATTGTTCTTTAGAATATTGAACTCAAGTCAGGCTCAAACCGAACCGTTTTCTTTGATCCCGTAAATGGTCGATAGAGAATGGAAACAGGAAGAAGAACAGCTGATTTGCAAATTCGCCTGTCCAAAGCATCGAGACCTTCCAGCTTAATCACGGCGACGTATCCGTTGGGTCGTCCTTTCTCGAGCTGAACTTGACTTTTAAAGGCCATGCAGAACTCAGTTTCATGTCGTCATGAAACTGAAATGTCGTTGAAACGCGTACCGGGATAAAGAAGGCCCAAGACCAGTCTTGGGCGGATCGTAAGCGAGACATGAGGACTTTTTTGAAAGGTAGGATTTGTTCGCTCCTGGTTATAAATGTCAGACATTTCTTCTTTCGGTGGTACGAAATGTTGACTCACGTAAATGAGTCAACATATATCGACCAGCCTCCCTCCAAAAGGTCAACTGTGTTGAAGAAACAAAGTCAAAGCCAATCACTGAAAATGATGTCATCCTTCTCTTTAGTGAGGCCTCTGTATTTCAATGATTCCAAAATGCTGCAAGTAGTGCTATTTACTAAGACTTAATTCTTATTCATAAACTTCCGAAGAACTAAAGATTGGTTGAGGTCCGAGAAAAATCTCTATGTCTGGTGAGAAAATTCAGTTGATCATAATCATGGCATCGTATAAAGATATCTGGAAAGTCAGAACTAAAACATACATTCGTGGCATCTCATAAGATTCTAGAGAGTGCAAATCCACTGACATTTGAAAAGTCTGGCTTCAAGGAGAACGCCTCATTCTGCTGAAGAATCTCTCTAGTCTTGTCACAGTTCCGTTTTCTGAAAATCCGTATAAGGACAAACAGTACAGTAATTCATCGGTAGCAGGTGCACTGAGAAGGAACGATTGGTCATGAACCACTGTTGTTGCATTGTACCAAGCAAATTCTGGACCAATCGAGCTCACGCCTTGAACGTAGCTAGCTAGAACAAAGCAGAATCAAGACGGAGGATGTCATGTTTATCAGGTGTCTAGAATCTTGGAAGACACACGATCCTTCGCAGGGCGTGTAGAAGGTGTGAACATAGATAGATCCAGAATTTGACACGTCATCTGCGGGGTTTGGACTGGTGGAAAATGATGCATTTGCAAAATTCTTTACTCGGAACAACCGCATCAGACAAATTCACAATGTTGTGTGCACATGATCTCATCCTGGATAACGGTATGCTCAGAACAAGGAAGCTTCCATTCTCACTGAGAAAATTCCTTTCAGGACCGGTCCACCTCTAAACCTCTAAACAAAACTGTACAGTAGAATTGAAGGAAGACACGAAGTTGAAGACTTGTAGAAAGTTTGAAGAGACGCACCGAGCAATGACGAGAACTACATTAGAATGGTTGGTCTTTCAGGTGAAGAGATTGTACTGAATCGCCAGGTTGTAGATAATTTACTTATAGTCGGAAATTCCTGGATTGAGGACAACATCATCGTAAGGATGCATGAACCAAGTCAATTAGATTCACATTCGGATTTCACGTAACGAGCAAAACTAAGCAACCCGAAAGCAAAGGAAAGTACAGAGACAAATTCATCATTTTTTTCGCTCATTCCGAAACTCAACATTGATCTCGCTGTTAATCACTTTCGAGTCATGCAACATTCGTGTTCTTGAAACAACCTCGAGCACTCAAATCCAATTACAGTATTTAAAGCTGAATGTTCAGCTGGAAGGTGCAAAAATACGCTCAATTGGTCATAAAAGCATCCAAGAGGTACTGTATTCGTCCTAGTCGAACAACTAATCGACTTGAAGGAAGCCGGAATTTGCTCGGAAGCCAAGAGAAACCAAGCCAAGCCACGCCAAATAGATGTGACTCGCTATCAGGTTGGCGTCCTGCATGTGTGACTCTGTGGTCTTACGAGGTTCAAAGTCATCCTAACTTACACTCTGATAAAAGAAAGCAGTTCACGTCTGAAGTGAGCAAGAAGAAATGGTCCATGGTGGCCAAGTTATTGATGGGTGAGGGGCATGTACATATCCAAGATGCACGAAGGCAAGCATGCTACCGAGTTCATCTAACCTTGATCAGCTAATTGCTGGATTCAATACTGTAAATTCAACTGAAAAGCGTAGCAATGGATGATTCTTAAATCAGCTGTCAATTTTTTACTGAACCCGTGCAGAACTGGTTTAACTGGGTCATAGGCAGTGGGCGAGCATGGGATCGAGTTGCAGCAACACCTGCTGAGTAAATTAGAGCCCGCGTGGGAGTGAAGCAACGAGACCTTTGGCGGAGAGCTGGACCATTGGTGGCATCTCGGTCCTCATCTGCCCGACAAGGGATATAGTAAAATATACAATATGATATATAATCTGTGACAGAGAAGGGTCTGGAGCAGAGGCCGAAGCTGTAGCTCGAGCTCGAAGCAAAGATCTAGAGCCTTCTCTTTCCAACTGCAGATATTGGTCCTCATTGGCCACCATCATGAACATGATCTTCAGATGAGCCTGAAGTGACGAGCGGCGGGGCTTGTCTGAGCTAGGTCGAGGCAGACCGGGATGGAGAAGGATTTGGGTCCCTTCTAACCCCATCGATCATTGCGAGTTTGACGACCCTCCTCGATTCATGGAGATGTGAATGAGTGGATGAATTTGTCAAAAGTTTCGGGCTGAATGGAATTCTGGTCACGATCTACGGGCAAATGGAAGGCCCGGAGGGCTGGTACCAAAAAGTCAATCAAAAGAATGCAAAAGTCAGTCAATTTCCTCTTGAGTCCATGACCGTGGGCACTGGTCAGGACCGTCGTGACCACACCATGCAGTAACGGCAGACCCGAATTACCAACGCCTGATTTCCTTCTTCGCACTCCATTCCTTGGTTCACTGCATCATTAGCAGCTCCAAACCAGATTACTCGAAGGGAAAGAGGGTCAGCTACGATGCTTGATCAGACGACCCAAGGGATCCAAGCCGCGCAAACCTAGTTCAACGATTGACTTTGACATTATTGGAGTCCCTAAGCTTGGCCACTATTACTTATGACCTGCTTGCTTTCCTCCTTGACAGAAATTCTGTCACATTATGTGTGAGGTCCTTTGCAGGTCGTACAATGCTTTGTAATATTATCGTGCTTATCCTTGGGCCTTTATGACCTTCTAGGAATCAGCTAAAGTACAGAGCTCTCCTGTGCAGATACGGACTGCCCAGGACCTGACACAAGAATGGAACACAGTAGAAAACTAGAGTCGTCGCATTGATTATGAAGATGCTCATCCTGGGGCCTGAAGAAGGTCTCAGAAGATGAAGATTAAAATGGATATTACCTATAACTTAGTTGATCGTTCGGAAATTGCGCCATGAGCGTGACTTCAAGAAAACCTGAGGGAAGAAACGTCTGGAGCGAGGAGAGTGAAGGAAGGAAGGAAGGAAGGAAAGAAGGAAGAGGGTCGAATGCTAGAACTGTCCTTCTCTCCATTAGAACATTCGATCGTGTCTGGATCTTTGTCTCCAAACATTGTGGCAGACCGGCACAAGTGAAGACAGATTCGTCTCTATTTTTTGTTTTAGCGCTTGTCTCGATTTCTTCGCGCAGCCCTAAGCACGACTTAGTCCCTAACAGGGCCAACACTTTCCCAGAAACTGCTCCCGTCACTTCCCGTCACTTCCCGTCCCCTCCCGTCCTGCAGGCAGATGACACCATGTTGATCAGCTGCTGCAGTGACCAGATTTTCTCTTTCAATACACGTGAGAATTCTCTGAGACCTCGGTGACCGTAGATTGCTCAGAAATGGCATGAGGCGGTAAGGTTCATGATCTGCAGTTTTCTTGTTCTGTGTGGGACGTCAGGCCCACTGATGAGTTAGTTGGGAAGAACACCCAAAATGGCAGGTTTCCCACACTGACTCGTCAACAAAATCGATCTCCTTACTTTTCCAAGAGATACTTTCACGCTCTTTTACCTCAGGGGATGCTGGCAAATTTGAGCTCTGTTCTTACCGAGCAAGGTTAAAGACAATATGAATCGCCAGCCTGGACGTAGATCGTTGCTCTTCCTTAGGCATGGTAAATCACAACTTGTTAGAGTGTGCAGCTTTAATCAAAGCTGGGTTGCTACATCTCGTACAATGATGAACCCGGTGATGCTCGATCGACATCAAGGCTATAGACAAGACTTTGTCTGTCAGAACTCGTCACTGCACCGACTCTTTGGCAGATTCTGAACTCCATAATTCGTGAACCGATTGTTTAAGACATGTTCCAAGTTATACACACTTAACACAAGCCATCACAAAAGGTCGAGAGGGCTCAAATGTCTAGACATTCCTCCATAGTAGCTATGATAAATAAAAAATGGATCTCTTTTCCAGCATCATGCCCGGCCTGCTTAGAGCAAGCCAAAAGAGCAAAACACGTCTCCACCAAACATAAGAGACGAACTCATGAGCCCAGCAGTAGGATATAGATCTTCAAAGTGCCCCCACGTTCACCTCAAAAGCATTATTTTTTTTGGCACCGTCGTCACGCTAAAAGTCGAGAAGTGGAGGTTTATGCCCAACCCCCAAAAACTATAGCAGTGCTCTTGGGGAGCTAGCTAGGTCGATGCCATCACCAACCGAGCCCCAATTCAACACTGGGAAATCACGAGGACGAGGTTGGGCTAAAGCCCAGTACCACCTAAACATTCCCTCAAATTTGGACGCTCGTGAGCGACTGGGTCGGGGCGCGGCAATATCCCAAACAAGTCAATATCTTGTAGCGGTAGTCAATCAGGCGGCATCAGCACGAGTTCTTTATGCTTTAATACTCAGAAAGCAAAACCCGATTGTCCTTATGTGGGAGCCTTCCATTGCTGCCCTGCTCTGCCTCTAACCCTCGCCATGTTGACGGTCCAGCCTCCGCAGATGATGCTCCTCTTTGACTATCTCTGCCACTTTCTCGTGGAGGCAGGTCTGCTCGTTCCGATGGGGCTTCTGGCAGCGGGAGCTGCGTGTCCAGCTCCTCCTCCCTCTATAAGAAGACTCCTCCTATCACAGCTGCCGCATATCAGATACTCATCTCTTTCTCCTCGGCCTCCTCTCTAAAGACCTCTACAAAGAGAGCGAGCGGGAGATAGAGAGAGAGGCCAACGTCGTCTGAAAGAAGAAGCTCGTTCAGTTGACGGAACTCACATCTGAAAACGTCGAACAATTGAATGCAAAGTCGATCATATCAGAAATTTTACAAGTCCACAGACATATCGTAACCAGAATCCTTCTGACAGGCATTCAGAAGCAGCAATATTGACTGGAGTGAGTGCTAACACCAATCAGAGGGAGAGAGAGGGCTCAGAGGAGCACACAAATTTGATAAAAACAGGCAGGAAGGAATTATGGGAAATGCAGTGCCCTCGAGAGGGTGCCGGGACGTGGACCGGCTGGATGCTTCCAGTTCTGAAGATGAGATCGAGGATGAGGGCGCCAATGCCAGAGAGCTGAAGGTGGTGACAGTCCTGAAGCGGGACGGGACGGTGCTGGAGTTCAAGAAAGAGCTGAGCGTGTCCAAGCTTCTGAAGAGCTTCCCGGGCCACTTCGTCTGCAACTCCGAGGAGCTCGGGTCCGGGGCCAAAGCGCGAATGCTGTGCCCGAAAGCTCGTCTCGCCCTCGGCAAGGTCTACCTCCTCCTCCCCCAGCAGCAGAAAGCCAGAAGAAGATCGTGCAGCAAGATCAACCCCGTGCTCGCTCTGGCCTGTCCGGAGCGCCTCAATTCCCAGCAATCCTCAGCAGCAGCCGCCGCCGCCTCCGGGTATCAGAGACTCGGAGCTGATGACGAGCCCCGTTCTGAGAGCATAAAGTTGGTGATGACCAAACAGCAGCTGGCCAAGATGATGGCCGACGGCTCCATCCTCATGGCGGCGGGCAACAAAGAAGCAGCGGCGCAGCTGATGAGCGTGCGAGCCAATTCCCCGGAGCTCTCGTACAGCAGCATGAGATTGTTCAACCATCCCGTCGTACAAAGCACCAATAAGAGCGGCAGCTTCCGACGGAACTGGTCCCCAGCTCTCGACAGCATCATCGAAGTCCCAAGCCAGTGAGCCTCAAGATTTCTGAATGAGTGAACGGACGGATAGCCAATCGATGCTGGCACCCTTCGTCGACCTCAGCGTGTCGATGATGATCGACAATGTCCACGTCGAGCTTTGCTTGCGCTGCTGCTGGAGTTGCTCGGGCTGTGCATGGGATTCGACCGATGGCAAAGATTTAGATTTCGAAGATGGAGATATGGAGAGATGGAGAGACGGAGAGATGGAGAGACGTGGAGGAGGGTAGTTCTGGGGAGGACCGATTTTCTTGTACAGGGTTTATGCAGGTCCCCGGTCCCTTTCACGAAACTGGGCTGCACTGCGATCGATGTATTTTAGTAAGCGAGCGAGTAGAGCTTGTCTATGAGCAATGGATTGATTGCGAGAGAGCGAATTTCTACGGCGCTAGATCCGGTGCCACATGGAAGAGCTCAGCATGTGGAGGTCCATGGCTTCCGAGGAGGGTATGGACGCCTTCGTGCCTTCTTCATCGATGTACACTTTGTAATTTGATAGAAGTAAATTTTGAGACGAGACTTTCGGGGACCGTGGCTCGGTGGCGCAGACAACTGTTTGCCCCCTCCGAGTCGGGGTGTCCCACCGAAAGACCGTCCATGGAAATTGTATATAAAGAGTCGCCTTTGTCACTTTCTTGCAAATGCTCAAAAAGTCGGTGGAGAGTGGACATTTGCTCGTCGAGGACGATGGATGTCCTCCACTGCAGCTGCTGCAGACGAGCTTGCTGCCACTGTTTGGTATGTCGATCGACTTTTGTTCATTGTTCTTTTTTTGCGGTTGGAATTATTCCTTCTGTCTATCTGGTTAGGGTCATGAGGTCCCTCTCGTCACGAAGGTCAAGACTAAGCGGCGGCTGTCATTGCAACCTTCCGAGCCCTCGGCGTGTCCAAGTCACGAATCAGACTAGAAGCTGTGGAACTGTGAAAATCCCACCGTTATATCATCGTCTAAGGTAGCGAAGGTTCTCGAGGATTCATTGAGATTTCTTGTCAATCTCCAGACTCTTTGACAGTACAGTACGAGATATTATCACCTTCCTAAAAAAATTTCTTCGGCCCTGTGGAATTCTGTAAACACTCTTTCCAACATTTGTACTTTTTATGAACATGGATGATGGATAGGAGAGTTCGCGAGCTCATGGATCCGTCGGTCTGCTTATGACAGGCAGACTCGTCCACCCATCGACCGAGAGAGTGGGTCCCTTACGCTTCACACGATCGAATTGGTCGCAGGTGCTCGCGGACATCGGTAACGGCTGCAGTTGTGCTCCGAGAGCAACAACCAGTGATGGATGGGGTGCTGATGTGCACGAGACGCTCGTGTCATTTCGAATTGTCTCGATATAGCCAATCGATGACGACAGCTACACGGATGCCTCAGATTGGATGCCAGAGAACGACCTCCCTCGTTCGGAGAAGAAATCAACGACCCCGATGGCTGCGGGCGAGTCGTTGAAGGGTGTCGTCCCTTCCTCTTTTGTTGTATTGCATGTCCAAGAGACTTCTCCTTTCGTTGTGTACATGGGAGAGAACGGAATTGGCAGTTCAGACCTGTCACTCAAACTGAAGCAATCGGTTAGTCGAAAGCTTCCCTTTTCCCGCCGTACACTTTGCATCGCATGTGCGGGGGCGGGTCTTCTTGTCCCCTGTCGTTGATGCTCGTGCTCGACGCCTGTCGTCAGCATGTGAACGAGTCAATGGCTGCGGAAAGCGGGTTTACGGTGGTACGGTACAGAGTCTACAGAGAACAGATCGAATACATGACGATGAGTGGTAGAGTGTCGTAGATCGTAGCCCTAGAAAGAATGATGCCGGGAGATAAAGTGCCATCACTCCTGAGACGAATTCCAAATTATGCTTAGGCTTTAGGAAGGTGCAATTATCTTCAGACATGTTTTCTTGGAATTTGGAATGTGGCAGGTCAGAAAGAATGAGTGAAATCGACGGATTCAGGAGGCCATCAAGATTAGAGGAATCGAGTTACTCAGTCAACAACGTCAAAAGAGACAGAGCATGACCGAATACCTCGACGAAGTATAGTGAGCAAACGTGCTTATCGTGTGGAGTGAATTGATCAAACTCGAAGCATTACTTGCAAAGACCATGCTTAGAGTCGCTAACCGAGTCGTTGCAAGCCATTTTCATTTTTAGAAATTGATCTCAGCACTTCATCGGTAAAGTGGATGCGAAGATGTTCTGTAATGTAAGTAATATACAGAGTAAGGTCAAAGCAACTGGTTTCCGAGAGCGACCCTTACATTCGCAGCAATGCGTAGCCCTAAGTGAGCAACTCGAGAAACAGGCAAGCGGCTATCGAACCTCAAGGAATCATGACAACACCAACAGTTTCTTCATATAGCATATATTACACTATATTGCCTGGGCAGCTACATAGGTAGGCAGTTGACCTTCCTGGGCTGCTCCATATCGTAGGACTCTCACATTCATCCATCACATGAACAGCACCGTTGTCTTGCCCTGATAAAGGATGGCAGGTGCACGCGGACACAAAAAACGATGGGTGTGTCGACCGATTTGGCTATCCTGTCACATTCGTCGATATAGTTGATTCGCATCACAGAATGATTAAAAACCAAAAAAACAACTGAGTCCATATTGTCCGTGCCACTAGATGGAGCATGAAAACAGATCGGGATCTGCCATCAAATCTCTACATCGCCATTGTTTCATAATTCGCGACAACTCGTTACCAATCGTGTCATGCACAATCGCTTAGCTGTAGTTACATGCGAAGTTGCCAGTTTGTACTTCAAGTTCGTATGTAGTGGAAGAAGAGACTTGTTTGTCGTACGTTCAAAGCTCTTCATTACCGAACCCCAGTGGAAGACAAGTGCATTTAAAAAATACTTCTCTCTTCAAGACTCACCCGATGGCATTACTCAACGATGCTTAGATGAATGTTTATCGACCCTGCAGTTAAAGAAAGTAGGCAGCTTAGACTTGGTGTCACTAAATAGTCATTAGAAATTTTTGCATTATTTCTTTTCTCTTACAATATTAATTAGCTTGTCTTCCTCTTACAGCCATTAAAACCAAATTTTAAATCATCAGAGCCGAGAAAACAATAGAACAGAACAGATCAAACAAGGCCCAGCGAAACCAACATCTGGATGGTGAAATCTGGTACTCTTGGTAGAAAGTGTGAACACTGGAAACAGGAAGACTTAGCATAATGAGAAGTCTTTCCTATAGTAGTCCTACGAGCTTTAGCGATTACTATCTCACATAGTGTAGCTCCTTGAAGTTGATGCGAAGCCCGTAACGGCAAGCAGATTTTAGTTTGCAAAGATAACAAATTGAGAGTTCTAATAGTACAAAACCCTAAATCAAGTATAGTTTTCTCCTCGATATGTGAGACAGATACCATCTAAATAAACAGAAATGGTGTAGAAACAGTCGAAGTTGGCTTTCTCAATCATTCCATCTGTGGTATTCTACAAACTGTGTATGTCTGAAATTTGTCATGGCTCGAGACGTTGGGTCGATTTGAGTTGAGACTCGTTGAGTTTGAGTTGGAGTCGGGGAACGTTGGGAGTCGATTAACGTTGGGCCGCGGCAGACGGGCGAGGAGCGTTGGATAGAGTCGACACCTTCCAGAGATATATTCGAGGCGAGCTCGAAGAACTGTCAGTTCTTCGAGTTAAGCCTTTCGCGTAGGGATCTGTCAGTCCCGCTAGCTTCGACTCTGATTCTACCTGCGGGTAGTGAGTTTGGCTCGACTCTGGCTCGACTCTCTATGTACAGTTTGTGTTTCGACACTGATTTTGAGTTGTGATACCTTTGTGTGTGGACACTCTCGTTCCTTGTGTATGTATGTGTGAGTTCTGAGTAGAGCATGTCAGCGATGTATGATGTATGGCGATACTGAGTCGCACGACAAATTAATCGATCATTTGGGACTTGAATTTGGCGAATTGCACTTGTTCGATCACAATCTCCCAACATCTACAGGCTCATCTATCACTTTAAAAACAGCCCACTACCAATGTGGGTGTATATAAATGACCTGATTGCATTTTGTAGCTCCTTACAGCATTCTAGGGCTATGTATATGTTAATGTATTTTACAGTGTTCTTTGAGTTTTAGCTCGATGCCAAACGCAACTTGAACAATCTTTGTCCTTCTTATGGTACTTCTCCTGGCTAAGATTAGCCAAAGAGTGACTAGTTTTCCTGGCTGAACTACCCTGGCAAGGCAAGGGACCACCACAAATGAAGTGGAGTAAAAGGAGTGATCAAGCTATGAATATTATGATAAAGTGGCTCGCTTCTTGACCACTCATATGACTCTTTGGCCACATTTTACGATGTGAAACGTTCTTTGCGAGTGTGGTGAATTGCCATAAAATGGCCCAATTTCTGGTTATTTCATATTCAACTTTGGAAGTATAATTGATCTCGAAGATCTTCATTTTATCTTCCCAATAGCTATGCAAAGTGATGACGAGACTATGTCTCTTAAGTAGTGAAGGACAAAAATGCCAAATCATATGATCCAGCGATGGCTGGAAAATGCATATACATATAAGAACGGCTTCAAGTAGGAAAGCACGTCTTGAATTAATTCGAGCATTTCGTGTTGATTATTTACAATGCTCATAAAGCACATATCTTGATCAGCTCATGCCTTCATGCCTTCTGAGACTATCCTCAAGTTTAAGCCAATCATTGACGTCTAAGATTCGGATCTCGAATTCTGTGTGTTATACTTGATCCCCAGAGTGCAGACTTCCTTGATAATTTAACATATTTTACTCTGCACGCGCCTTTGAGACTCCTGGAAATTATTCTTAGCTAGCGTCGTGCTTTCTGAGTGTTCGAACTATTTTCTTCAATGATCTAGATATTGAACAAATATTGATTGTGGAAAATGTCTTTGAATATCTAAATTGAGGAATTTAATGACCAGTAGCAACTGCTTTAAAGACCTAGACTTCAATCGTCAAACGAGGTCCGAAACCCACTATTAGTCCCCATTCACAACCTTCTCCAGTTGTGCTACTCTTCTTCCCAGCTGACCGCCTCCTCATCTGATCCAGGACAAATAGCACGTTAGCACCAGACATGTTGCCGTAGTTGTAAAGCACATCTTTCGTCGCCTCCATCTTCTCTGAATTCAAGTTCAATGTTTTGGCCACTTCGTCCAGAATGGCACGACCTCCCTGGAGCACACAGCAGAACAGATTGTTCCAGCCTGGGGATCATGCCACCTCGATTGCCTTGTTGAAGATGAGAAGAGAGTTTCTGGAGATCAGGCCGGGAACATCCTTCAGCAGATGGAAAATAAGGCCTGCCTCAGTCAGGCGTCCCTCAATGGCACCATCACTTTCTGGTAGAATGTTCTCATCTGACCAGTGAATCTCGAACTGGGGTTTCTACACCTCAGGGACCGGATCAGAACCAATGACCAGGATTGCAGCTCCATCACCGAAGATGGCTGAACCCACCAGATTGTCCAGAAGTTCCTCGTTAGGTGCGTTGAACGTTACAGAAGTGAGTTCGCTCACCACTGCCTGTACTTTGGCGCTCTTGTTGTTCTCAGCCAGATCTTTGGCAACTCGCAGAACAGTAGCTCCTCCAAAGCAACCTTGCTGGTAGAGCATGATATGCTTCACATTCGAAGCCCAGAAGCCTGTTGAGAGTGAGATCAACTCGGGGCATGTTCGTCATGCTCGTTGTTGCAAACACTACGTGTGTGATCTGATCTCTAGGTTGTCCCATTCTGCCAAGGCTTCTATTGCTGCCTTCTCTGCCAATCTGGGAACTTTTCTTATGGCATTATCTTGTCGAATATCCAGAGAAGATTCAAGCTAAGTGCACATTGAAGTATTGGACTTCAGGATGTCTTCTGTGCAATGAAAGTACATAGTGTTGATTCTTGAATTTTGCCTGAACAATCCAATTGACACGAATAACATGATTAGGTACAGAATTACGAAAGTCAACCAGCCTATCTATTTGATCAGCGCTTCATTTACAGAAATCTAATACCAAGCCTCTTGAGCAGATAATCAGAACCTAACCGACAGTTGGGAAAAAACATAAAATGAAACTTGTAAGTATTCACATATGCGCACAAATTTGGCTTTGATCTGTGGTTAGTGACTGGATTGGTGATGTCAAAGTAGAAGTATAGATAATTACTTTGAGGAAAGGCTCTAGGAGCAGTGGCTTTGCCAATGGCAAGAACTGTCGCTGGTCCTTCAGCCTTCTGGTGTTTGTAAGCATTGGCATTGTTGGCCATTTCTACAGATGTTCTAAAAAATCGAACTGTCACAAACTCTATTGCTCACAAGAGGGAACGAGAGTTATGACAAATGTATCTCTCAGTCTCTGGTCGCGTGAGGAGAACAAAGCTTTCCAATGTGGATGAGAGCAAGAGTTGATGCTGGTATTTATAAGCTCCGACGTACACAGATTATGTAGTTTTGCGAACTTACACTCATAAAGTCAGTAGTAAAGTTTGGAAATGTGAGTGGATGGATGGTGTGAGTGAGTGTAAGCAGCATATTTGCAAATATTTACATAAGACTGTTAAGGTTGAACTGGCTATACAAAATCAGACACCTTTCCTGAGGATATATTCGGTGAAACTTTCTCTTCTTGGGTACAAGTCACTTCACCAACATGGAAGAAAAGTTAACGAATCGTAGAGGATAGCATGATTTACTAGCATTATTATATTGATAAATTATTTTTTTTGGATTGATGCTCATAAATTCTCTATGATCATTGGTGTATTATATTGGCATGAAATAGATAAATAAATAAATATAATTATATGATTTCAAGTATTGAAAATATGATTAAACTTATTGTAATTACAGATATATACCAAAATGGAGCATAATGGTAAAGATTCGATACCACGAGTACAAAAATAACGCAAAGAGTACCGATTATCATGTATTTCACAGTCTATTGAGGAGTTTGAATTCTCAGGCTACAGTCAGTCTCATAAGTAATTCAGGTGTTCGATTGGGAGGTATCTCAGAGGACACACAATGCATCCTAAGTCTCACACACACACCTGAAACAATCAATTGCAACAACTCAGAGGTCGATCGCGACCTCATTTTAAGATTCAAGGGGGGAGGGAAATAACCAAAGAGTAAAGTCAGAGGTTATGCACGCAGCTGCCAATTTGCATTGGTGCTACTACTTCGGATGCGGTGTCTTCGAAAAACCGAAGTACCTCTCACACGGTGACCAACACACTCAACTCACAAACGCGCAGAGAATACAGTTTAGAAACTCAATTTAGAAACTAAATTGAGATAGACCCCCCAACGCCTTGGACTACTTTATTCTTAACTACCAAAATTAACACCCACTCCAATGCAAGCTCCGAACAGGTCCTACACCTGCGGAGTCGGCAGTTGCTGCTCCTTCTAACCTCCGCTCTAAACCTAACCTTTTCAAAACGCCTACTAGCTCTAACTCCAGATTTGCTACCGCGTCCCGCAATCTCGAGAGATACGCTTCGAGCTTCTTGGCTACTGTGGTAACACACTTTTTGTTTTTTTGCAGAATTTAAACAATTTTAGAAAACTAGTACCGAAGCAGTGTTTGTAGTTAGAAAAGGGTACGTTAAATAGAGTGGATTGATGAGATCGTCACGAGGTCACGAAGAATCGCGTAGTCGGATGTACCAACGCCAATGTCTTCGGCGCCTTCGGCAAAAGCTCCTTTTCTGAGGTGTCCCTACTCACGCGCTTCCAGCGTATAAGGAAGCTACGCTTCCGGCGCAGACACCTCAGGAGGAGTTTTTGCTAAAGATGTCAGAAGAAGGGCCCGGACCTCTGAAGGCGTCCGACCATGAGTGCGCCTTCGGCGATGCGCCGCTAGCGCGGAAAGGGAAAACCTTCATAACGATCGGAATACACGGTAGATCCAGTTCGTTGAAGTTGCATTAGGAAGAGCTCGGGACGCATGTTCTAACGAGCCCAAGAGCGTCGGAGATGGATCAAGGACGGAGAAGTTATGAGCGTCGGAAAACTCGTAGCCGGACATGCGCCGTTCGCGCTAGGGTTCACAGCCGGAAAGGATCCCCGTACGCCCTCGGCGATGCGCCTTCGGCGGAATCGCGCGCTCATGGGAGGAAACCAACTCAGAGTCGGAAGCCCCTTTGGCGACTGCTCATGGAAGGAAAGCGCCGGTCAGATGTACGCCTCCGACGTGGCGCTGACGGCCGGATGCGCTGGCATGATTTGCGCTGGCGGATATGCGCCGTCAACAATGGATGAGGCATAAAGGACAAAATAAGCGGTACGAATGCGCGCCGGCGTAATTCGCTCCGACTGGATGTGCGCCTCCAGCAAGGCGCCGACGGATAAGGAACGCGCCAGCGGCGACACGCCTCCGGTGATGGACGGGTTAGGGAAAGACAACATAGCCGACGTATACCCTGCGGCGGACTCGAGTCCGGAAGGCGGCGGCGGCGGGAGAATTTAACATTCACGCATGCGAATGCGCGCAGTGCGGAGACGTGAATTCGCGCATGCAAAGGGCGAACCGTTAGGCCGTATAGCCGGCTGCGTATGTTGTAACCAGTAAGAACGTTGGACGTTCTTGAATTCGGAGAAGAAAAGACTGCGCTCCAGTCTCATTCTCTCATTCTTGATTTTGCGATTTCCAGCTTCCAAGATTACGCGCAAGGGCGGAGCGACCTGCAGTGAGAGGAGAGAGTGCGGAGACGAGTTGCGCGAGGATCTTGACAGGCCTTGGAGAGAATTGCGAGTAGCGAACTTGAGCGAGAGCGAAGAGAGAGTGAGCAGTCAGTGCTTGAGCGGCCGACGCGCAGGGGCGATTGTGAGAGAACGAGCGAAAGGGAGAACGTTTGTGTGTGCAGGAAACGCAATGTCGAAGGTTCCCCAGCTGCGAGTGTCTCCACTCAGGGTGCCGCAGATCGGTCTACGCGCATTTCAAGATGTGCTGCTGGGGCTGAAGCTCGATTTCCTTCTATGGGGGTGGAACTGGACATGTCCGGAGATGGTGCGCGAGTATCTGCAGGAGAGACACAAGCCCTCACGCGGATTCCGTCCACATCCAGAAAGATGGGACATTTGTAACTGGGCGCAGGTGTTGGGCAGGTGTGCCGGCGAGGAAGGGGATCTCCTCTTCGAGGCCGATAGCGTGAAGGTGTCCCAGGAGGAAGAAATCTCCTACAATGAGCTCTTCAAAGTTGCTAGGCATCCCAAGAACGGTTTCCGGACACGGGATTACAAAGATCGATTGCGGAGAAATGTCGCGACTGCATTGCTGCAGATATTGCAGCCGACCAAGACCGCTTACATGCATGGTTGGCAGGTAGAATTTGTGGAGCTAGTGTTGTCAGGAGCTCCAGTGCATTGGGCACGGCTCCTGTGGAAGGTGACGCGCCAACATGCGCAAGAAGAGAGAGGAGGAACCCTCAATCATCTTTCGCCTTACTTGATTGTGTTTTATCGGGCGATGGGATGTTTGACAAGTTTAGAGCGGACACGGTTTCCGTTGCTGACCCAGAGCCATCCAGGTAGATACTCACGGGAGGCCGAAGTAGACACGGATCCGGACGAGGAACCTGACAGTCCGTCTCCGGCTCCGGCCCCAGCAAGAGCAGCAGAAGAACGTCGAAGTGAGCGCATTCCGCGAAAGCGGAAGTGGGATGAGAGACCTGAGGACAGGCAGCCGGAAGTGCCAGCTGCGCCGACTCGTGGTCGGCCCACCCACGAGCCTCACAGTCGACCAAAACAGAGGGCACGCAAAATGCCAACTAGTACTGAGGAGACCGGGCGTACTCCGCTCCGGCGGAATCCCACGCAGGAGGAGATAATCGCGCAGATTCTAGGGAAGTCGACAAATACCTCTGCACAGAAGGCACCAATGCCTTCGGAAGGAGATGGACGGACTGACAGTCGGCCGACTACGAGTCGGGCGACTGAAGGCCGACAAGCGGAAGGAAGGCTAGCTGAACGGCGCGTTGAACCAGACAGCAGGCCGGAAGCAGAAGAGAGTTTGGCTGACGAGCCAACAACCCTCAGAAGGTCGTCTTCGGCGGAAGGCACTTCTGGGAAGACGCCACCAGCAAGCAGGCCAAGTGGAGTGAAGACGCGCAGGGTGTATCCGACTCCCAGTCGGACAACTGCTGGTCGGCCGACTGCGAGTCGGTCAACAGAGAGACGGACGGATTCGCCGACTGCGAGACGGACAGGGCCGGCGACCAGTGTGCGGACGCCTTCGGCGGACACACCTTCAGCGAAGACACCTTCCGCGCAGATTGCGCCGGAAGGGCAGGCAGCAGAAGCGGGCGGTGCAAAGGTGACAAGAGTCACTGCGGCGTCGACCCCTTTGGAGACCGAAGATCGAGCCGGAACAGGGGCTCAAGCAGTGGGATCCCCCACTGCCCTGGATATTTTAGCAGGCAGTGGAGCAGCAGTCGCAGCGGAAGCTGCTGCGCGCCACAGTTCCAGGGAGTCGCCAAGGGATTCGGTGGCGACTGAAATCCTCGAGACTGAGGATGAGACGAGCTCGGAAGAGCAGGAAGCGGATTCTGTGCAGAAAACGCCAACAGGGGTGTTGTGCGAGCAGATAGTCCCACTCCTGCGATATCTGGATCGCAAGACATCCAAGTACGCGGGTACGGCAAAACCGCAGTCTTATGTGGAGACTATCAAGCGAAGGACGAGGAGCAAGGTGGCCATTTGGGCCTCTAGGTGCCAAGTATATGTGGATAGGAACACCGCCCTCCGACAACACCTGGCGGTCACACAGAAGCTATACCAAGCCTTGCAGCAGCAGAGGGAGGATGCGGCGACGAAAAGTCAGGCGGATGCCGAGCTAATGCGGGCAAAGATCGAGTCGGAATTGCAGGAAGAGCGGAGACAAAACCGCGTCCTAGCAGCCGAGCTTGCGCGCCAGACGCGAGCCTTAGAAGAAAGTCAAAGAGCCCGCAAGGAGGATGAGGAGTTGTTGCGCAACTTGCAATCCGAGTGTTCGGATTTGAGGGCGCAGCGTGCGGAAGCAGAAATGCAGCTAGCAGAGGTGGAAGTCAACTGCAGGGCGCGAGAAGAGTTGGCGACGCGGGTGACTCACTGCCTAAAAGGATACGCCCATTGGGAGGTGGCAGCTCAAGAGAGGATCACACTCAGGGAGTTCGAGCTTCGGGCGGCGGCATTGACGGAGGGTGACAGTCGGAGTCGGCGGCGAGTGGCGCGGAAATTAGAAACCTTCTTGTCGGGTGCGCGCGACACTATGGCGCACTTAGAGTCGGAAGTCACTGCAGCCCTCCGACGTCTGGGGTT